CTTGTCCAGACCTGAAGCACCTGCACAGGTGTGAGGCTTGTCCAGACCTGGTGCACCTGCACAGTGCACAGGTGAGGAGGCTTGTCCACCAGGGGCACAAGACAATTTGCCATTTTGAGATGCACGCTTTGCACCAGGTTGCAGATGCTGACTTGTGGGATCCTGCCCCATTTCTCTACTAGAGTCTGCACCAGCATGTGTCTGCTGGTTTCTCAGCTCTAGATCCCACTTCATCATTGAAACACTGTTGGGGAAAGTCACTTTTAAAAACCAATCCACTACAGCCATGAGTTGTTTAGTAAAACTTTGTGGGAAATTACTCAACATAGGAGTTATGCAACACACCATATTGGTCACTGTAACTGATTACTTAATTTTCCCAATGTTTTGTTAATTTTAAAAAGACAGTTGTTAAAAGTAACATCTTAAAGAAGTAACTTGTAACTGTACTGCATTGAACAAAACACACTGCTTACAGATATTCAATGGAGCTCCAGTTTAGCAAATGGGGTATCCCTGGCACATTCACACAGAAGAAAGCCCTTGTTACATGCATCCATACTTTGTGACATAATACAGTGTTACAGTACATATACTGTGCACCTATAGGTGATCAGCATGCTTGCACACACAAACAATATTAACTCGTTACACTTGGAGCCGTGTTGTGTGGATGCAAGCATTCACTGTCACAGAATTATTTCTGTGGGTAGAGAAAGTCAGAAATGATCGGATCGTGTCTTGATTTTCACGAGGCTTTCCTCTGTCTTATTTTTTTACACACACAAACGAGTGACAGGCAGGTTTAAACCTCGATGTTTGAGGTGTAGTACATCACAGCTAGGCTCAACAGAGAAATACCCCATCTATCAAACAAGACACGATCAGTTCAATCCTGACATTCCTACTGAACATATTACCTGAACATTATGGGGGATGATTTCTGCACCCATGCAATGTAGACTTACTTAGACTTTGAGACTTAGGTGTCTAAAAATAAGTTGGTCTTTCTGATAAAACAAGTCCTCAAGTAGACATTATCTCCTTTGGTGCTATAAGATCTTTTACTTAAATGTTATAAAAAACAATCTTCTTTGTTTCCTCCTGGCAGACACCTAAACCACTCTCACAGTGCGGATTATTGTATATCAGGCTTGCCTGTCTGTATAAGAGAGAAAATTTGATGCATAAAAATCCGTAGTCAAGCAGCAATGCCAACAGTGTGGAAAGGCTGTCCTATTGGCTGAACAAGGCAGTTCCAGCTCATTGTAAGCAAATCTTGCTGTTGCCTGGCAACAGTGAAACTCAGCATGGTTCTCTTTGAAATGTCATTGGCCTTCCTTTGTGAGCTGTAGCTGATGCTTAATAAGGCAGAACCTGAGTTCAAACAGTAGCTCGTAAAATTAAGGAAAGAGCAGGGATTTCATTAAACTTTTTAAATGTATGATTTAAATGATTTAAATATAACATCTAGCCCTGGAGGGCTGCCTCATTGCTAGATCAGGGGTTCCCAGTACTGGCCCTTATCATTCCAGCTGAGCTTAATTACGTAATTGAGCTAAAAATGTACTTGATTAGAACACATGCAAAACTTTGTTTTTCTACTCAAAGGTTTGGAGTCTTGTGGTTGCTTATGAAATGCGGTACTTAAAAAGGCAACCTCCAACATGTTTAGGAGCTGGAAACAATCAAAATGTTCAAACAAATAATATTAGACAATCAAGGGTGCAGTTGTGTAACCGATCTTGGCTGGAATAAAAATCAGCCCCCAGGAGCAGCACTGGGAGCCTCTGGGTCTCTGTGGAGCAGCAGCACCTGAAGAGCAGGGAAGGGCTGTTTAACTGTACCAGTCTGGACAATCGTGTCTCATACAGTATAGCTTTGTTTTTTTACTAATTGGGTATTGAGATTTGCTTTATAAGTTCCAGAATTAAGTGAAGTAAATACCACTTTCCTACTGACAATGAGTGCAGCTGAGAGAGAGTGTTTTTGGCAAGCAGTAAAAGAAAACACTCCTACAACTGTCACTGGGAGATTTAGTCAGGTTCTGCTATTGACACCTAAAGGACTTTCCTCTTTTTTGTCAGTATCAAGGATTTTGAGTCATTTGCCTATTTTATTCTGACAAGTTAAAATGTAGCTTTTCCATGACACCAGTCTCCAGGGGAAGGAGATCTTTTCCCCACATGTCTGCTGGATTATTTCTGCTGCGCTGTGGTCTAGAAATCTCCAAGTCTTTCCTCCTTTCCTTAGGTTGTTACTACCGTTGCCATAGCAAATGCCTGAACCTCATCACCAAGCCCTGCGTGAGGTCAAAGGTCAGCCACCAGTCAGAGTACGAGCTGAACATCTGCCCTGAGGTTGGGCTGGACAGCCAGGACTACAGGTGTGCGGAGTGTCGGGCACCAGTGTCCCTGAGTGAGTGTCTGTCCAGCTCCCTCATGTCGTTGCCCTGCCAGCCTGCTTTCCTCTCCGTACACCCGTCATTCTCGACATTTTGTCCGGTGCAGGAGGAGTCCCGAGCGAGGCCAGACAGTGTGACTACACTGGTCAGTATTACTGTAGCAGCTGCCACTGGAACGACGCTGCGGTGGTCCCGGCACGCGTCATTCACAACTGGGAGTTTGAGCCCAGGAAGGTGGGTGCCAGCCAGCTCTGCTGTAACTGGTGGCCAGTCTCGAGGAGGGTGGCGCGAGGGGCAGCAGGTGACCGGGCTGTGACTCCCTCTGCAGGTGTGCCGCTCCTCCATGAGGTACCTGAACCTGATGATCTCGAGGCCGGTTCTGAAGCTCCGAGAAATCAACCCCCTGCTCTTCAACTTCGTGGAGGAGCTGGTGGAGATCCGGGTGAGAACCCTGTCCCAGTCCGCGCTCCTGGGCGCTTCCCGAGAGCCGCTCTAGTCGCATGAGCTGACGGTGGCCCACAGGGCATTGCTGCTCTTGACGAGATATCGGATTGTCCCAGTTCTAATGGGGAAGTGTTTGGGCTCTGAAATAACCACTGCCACAACAAATTCCGCTGTTCGTAAATGAGATCAATAGTGATATTTGCACCTTTTCTGCCTGCAAATGAGCTGTGGTGTTTTTACGTGAGCAATGTAAATGAAGCACTCTGGGGAGAAAGTGTGTTAATTTCGCAATGCATATTGAGATATGTCACCCGGTTTGTGTGAAGCTTAAAAGCACGTTTTTAATGGCATTTTCCTGTTACAGTACTGGGTTTCCTATTCTTTTGGTGTGCCATTGCCTTTGTTTTGCACAATACCAGGCTGGATTTTCTGCTTGAATTTGTCAGGTCAAGCCTTCCAGATGTAACTTCTGAAAATACTGAACCAAACAGAAGCAGAAACTTCTGACGTTACAGGAAACTAAGTAACGGAATAAAAACTGTAGTTGACAATTTGAGCCCAGCTGGGGTCCTCTGGCACTGAACAGGAAAAGTGTGGACTATCAAGCTCTGTCTTTCCTAACCTCTTCATCCGATTCAGGACCGCAGGGGAGCTGGAGCCTATCCCAGCAAGCAGCAGGCAGGGTACACCCTGGATGGGACGTCGGTCCATTACAGGATTCACACTCACTCTCACACTGGGGCCAGGTTAACCTGCCAGCATGTTTTTGGACTGAGTGAACATGGGGAGAATATACAAGCTCTTTATTGATCATGCTAAGGACTACATCTTGTCCTTCTTCAGAAGCTACGCCAGGACATCTTGCTGATGAAGCCCTATTTCATCACCTGCAAGGAGGCTATGGAGGCAAGGCTTCTGCTACAGGTGAGCCCCCTGCTGGCAGGTCATGTTCCTCTACCAGGAGTAAATAATTAATTGTTTTAATCAGACTGGACATTTTATTCACCTCTGAACTGGTTAGTTCTTTACCGGCTTACAGTAGTTCTTCTCCTTATTCTGCTGTTAAATATTGTATTTTCTGCTATTGCAAAACTTTTATGCAATGTTATTTTAAAAAATAATCAATACATTAAGACCCTGACAAAATGACAAAACATGCTTCGTGATACCATGGTTTGGGATGTACCAGAGGTATTATCATGTCCCCTGAAATGGACGAATACAGAGGGCAAAGCCTGTCATCCACTGTGAGGGAATAAAATAAGCGTGTCGGGCTCTTGAGCTTTAAGTGTTTGTCTGAACGCTCTTGTCACACAAAGGGTTTAGGACGTGCTGCTGTAGCCTCTTAAGCCGACAAACCACGAACATGCAGAGATGAAGCCATTAAACACCACTGTGTGTCCCGGACAGCAGAGTTTCTGTCAGACGCTTCCTGACTTGAACAGGGGGACTGCAGAATTTCAGAAAATTCATTTTCATTTCAAACCTGGAGTAACTACAATTTTGGTGAACACGTGAGGCAGGGGCCGTGCTCTAGTCGTCCTCAACACAGATTGAGCTGCACCACAATAAAACCAGGAAGAGCCCCATCTTGTGGCAGATTATTCATTCACAAAGACAGTGTGAAGAGTGGCTGATCACTACAGATCTTACCCAGGCAGGCTGCATTGTCAGTGCCTTAACAATACAGATAGATGAGGGAAAAAGCGTATGTACTTTTACATTTTGTTGTTTCCTAATAGTGAAATGACCAAATAATTCTGTACTTACCCACTGTATGCATAGTGATACTGTATATATATATACGGATGACATAAACAATGATTCTGAAGACTCCTGGTATAAATGTGCAACTGCTTTTTTGGAAAGAGAGCTTCATCAGTCTTCTTCCACAGCTCTGGGAAAACTTCAAAGCCAACATTGAAGCAGCAGCTTACTCAGTATTACTGTTATTGTATTCATGTGAAAAAACAGCTGTGGTGTAGTGTACAATATGCCATCTGTCAGTCCTGCAGTACAGCAAACCTTCTCTTGCTGCTTGTGGTTATCCTGCCTCCTGTGAGTTAAATTACAGGACTTCTATAATTGGAACATATTCTGTATTTTGCCACTTCTGTTTCCAGTATGTATGTTTATACATGTCTTTCTTTCACCTGCAGAACATTGTTTGGTAAAGATCCTTCCTCTGCCTAGCTGATGCTGAAAGAGTGATACAGTGGTGTGATCCTGTTAAAATGATTTAGCCCTTTAATGAGTGTGGTATCTTCTAAGGTACAGTGACACTTCCTGCTGTGGGGTGTCTTAAAGTAGGAATGTTAAGAGGTGGGCCAGGGTAAAACAAACACACACAGAAGGTGTGAGTTACAAATCAAGTGCAGTTTTATTACGGTGCAGGAAACGTAAAACCGAATGCCAAAACAACAATACAAAACCTGGCTCTTCTTTGAGCTCCTGGCTGACTTCAGTCCCTATCAAATGGGGCTTTCTTCCACTGAGACTTTTCAGAGGAGTTTTGTGAATTCTTGAAACTTCTTGAAAGTTTTCTCAGCTCCACGCACTCAGATAATGACCGACTCACAAAAACTCAGTGTCCTGCTTTTTAAATTGACACCTGACCAATTGGCTTGTATCAGCCAGTCAGGTGATGGAGAGCAGCTGCTCATTACCAGAGCATTCTGGGAAATGGGGTCCTGAAAAAGAATCTCCATCTTGTCTGGAGTCACTGCTCTCTCACATTTACAACATAGGTTGCAGATACACAGAATTCAGCAGCCTGTGTTAACTACATTACTCTGTATCAGTGCACATCTCAAGACCTCTGTGAACTGTCCTGGCTCACATTCACAATTTTAAGTATACTTGAAGGTACTTTTTTGCTCACATATCTCTGAATGGTTGAGCTCCACAGTGGGCTACAGAACCTTCTCGTTCTGCTGAAGACTGGGCTCCTCACAGGGGATCACAGAGCCTTCAACATTTTCCAAACGTTCTTAAAGACATGTTTTTTACTGAATCTTTGAATGTGTCGTTTTAGTCATACCCTTGTTTTCATTTAGCATGTTCCCTGTATTGTTTTCTTTTTCTGCTTGTGTTGAGTTTCTTGAAAAACACAACAACAAAACTGTTATTGTTGTTGTTTTGTGCCTTTCCAGCTGCAAGACCGTCAGCACTTTGTGGAGAACAATGACATGTACTCCTTGCAGGACCTGATTGATATTTCCACCGGTCGCCTCAGCTGCTCTTTAACTGAGATCCACACCACCTTTGCCAAGCACATCAAGCTGGACTGTGAGGTGTGTTCACTCTCTGAGCAACCATCCGAACGGCTTGGGCAGCACCTCATGCCGTTCTAGGTGCTGAGAATGGCGCCACAGGTGATTCCTCTGAATGAAAGCATGATTTGTCAAAGGGCGGCCCCAGTGATGGATGAGTATATGATGGTCGTTACAGGAAGGTGAAAATGGCTCATCAGATTGTCTAATAACGTGATCACATTAGACCAGGAGTCCTGTCCTTCAGGGTTGAGCGTCTGTCTCTGTGTCCCCAGAGGTGCCAGGCCAAGGGCTTTGTGTGTGAGCTGTGTAAAGAGGGAGACGTGCTCTTTCCTTTCGACAGCCACACCTCAGTGTGCCACGACTGCTCCGCCGTCTTCCACAGGTCGGTGTGCCGTCGCCCTGGGGCTGCTCCCTCGACTTCAACACTGATGTTCTCGCTGAGGAATGTAACTGTACATCAGTGTGATGCACCCCTGCACCCAGGCTATTGTCATAGGAGTACTACTGCTGTTCATTGAAAACAAAAGGGAGCCCTATTTTAAAGCAGTTTGACAGATTGAACATGTCACTACTGTGTTCCACATTGATATTAATATGTAACAATACAACTCCTGTTCATTTACTGTACAGCAGCTACATTGTTCCAGAGGTTAGCAAATGCATCAACATTAGGTACTATCCTCTACTGAACACACACAAGCCATTATTATAAGACAAGTTAAGATGTAACAAAAAATGTAAATTCCTCATCTGAGAACATATGAGAAAAGAGGAATCTTGTCAATGATTTAAGGGAGCCCAGCTCTTAAAAGTGAAAATCTGTTTGTTGAATGAAAAACAAGTGAGAATTACTATATCTCATGGAAATGAAAAGTCATGTTCTTGTAACTTCCCTATGATACTCAGTATATGAAGCTGTAAGAGCAGTGTACCTCCAGAATGTGGTTTTAGACGTGTGTTGCCTTTCAGGGACTGCTACTATGACAATTCCACCGCTTGCCCTCGATGCACCAGGATGTCCGAGCGGAAGCAGTCCATTGAGCCGCCCACACCCAGGGAGGACTGACCACTGACCGCTCTGTGTCCACATGGTCAGGTCAGTCTGCCTGTGGCCCCTCAGCACTTTTTCAAAGCCAGTGTGCCGCACACAGACTCCGTCTGGTTTCCCGTCATGTCCCCCTCGGCCTTCTGTGCCCCTTAACTGAGGTCAGCCGCTGGGAGGGAGAGCCTGGGACACGATCGAACACTGCAGGCGCCTGCCTTCGTCTCCACGCTAGGAAAAGATCTGATGTCCAGCACAGCGGCGGTCACTGGAACACTACAAGACTGTAGAACCCTGCAGGGCGTCCTGGAGGTGACCTTTGACACCTCTGTGTCCCGTTATCTGCCTTCGGTCATGAAAACAAAGCTTATGTAATGAGCAAAAATGTTTTAATTTACTGGTAAGTCTAGCAGGTTCACTACACTGCCTTTAACTACACGTGGGAACACACTAATGCATTAGTGCTACTTCACTTTACCTCTTGCATGTGCTGTGTATGCATATTTGTGATCAGCCTTAGGGAAGCGTTCAGAACAAAGTTTTAAAATTGACACACAAAAAACATACAGAGCACAATGGTGGGGGCACATTAAACTGTGTGAAAACAAATCACTGTAAATAATGCTAATGATGTTATTAAGAGAATGGGCAGCTCTTTTCTGTGGCTATACACCAGCAACAGACTCCCATCATTTTTTCCTGCCATCTTTTATACTGAAGCAGATTTGTGCACATGTAGCGTACAGTATATACAGTAATACACAGGAGCTATAGAATATCTGTTGACCTGTTAGAACTTAACATCTGATGTCAGGATGCAAATTCACTGTTTTGCAAACACAATAGCAAGGGACAGAGGATAAAAGATTTGTGAAGTATTTGAGCAGATCCTTAGCTGTGTCTGCAGTCTAGGTATATAAATCAAAATGTAGCAACCATAATATAAATGAATGGAAAAGTTGTAAAACCTGGCATTCAAATTATGGTTAAAGATGCAGTTATACAGTGTGGAATATTGACATGCGCTTTAGATGTAGCTCTCAAAATCAACACTTATTTGCTCTATATTCAATTACTGGTATAAATGAGATTAATGCAATTCTGTATTTCTTTTCCTTCTAGGATACACAGTACAGTGGCACACTAAAACAGGTCATTTTGTTTTAAAATAATTTAGTGCTGTCTTGCAGTTCAGCATGAACTTATCATTAAATTGAAAAATGATTTAGATTTATCCATGTAACAATCTGTTATACTTTTACATTGCCTTATGAATCACTATATAGTCTAGTTATGTACTGCCAAAACATAAAACTCCTGTATTGTCTGCCATTACAAAACTGTGTACGTCATGGACGAATAAAATACTGTGGATGAATAAAATACTAACCGATGGCAGCAGTTTTAAAGTGAATTTGTTCTTCATGCAGATGAAACACTTTTCCAGAATTTAATATTGCTTTAATCAGCCAACACCAAGTGCCTCAACAGTCTAATTAAGAACATAATCTAATCGTGTATTTACTACTAGTTTGCAGATGACACCAAATTAATAGGATTAGCAATCACTGCAAAAGCAGCAAATTATTTTGAAATATTTAGATAAACTGGGCAAACACCTAGTAGATGTCTTTTAATGTAGACAAGTGCAGGGTAATGTGTGGAGGTAGCAAAAATAAACAACAAATACAAAACAGGAAACGCTGAGCTAGAAGAGTCTTCCTCTGAAAAAAAGGTACGTATTTATGTTGACACATCATTTATCTTTTAGCATCTAGACGATGAGGAAGCAATTAAAAAGGCAAAATTCTAAGATATATATATAGCTAAAAATTAATTATTTAAACCAAAGGATATTGTGTTAAAATTGTTTAATGATACCACACGAGAAAGGACTCATTTTGAATATTGTGTTTGGTTTTGGTTTCCTGCAAAAATAAAAATATTTTCTTATCAGCTTCATCAGTACAGCAACACAACATGACAACGGCTTTTCTTCTGAAAGTAAAGAAATCAGTTACCGTGCAGAAGGCACTGCACGAATATTTGTCCATTAAAAATAGATTGTGTGTATGGAATTGGACTTAAACAATTAAAATGACCAATACTCCACCTTCATGATTGTCACATTTTTCTGCTAATAGTACCAATAACACACATGTACAGGTCACTAAAACTCACGTCAAAAACAGATAAAAAAAAAAACTTGCTGTACGTTTTTCTGGGTTATGTAGTCACCACAGACAACACAACTCTCAGTTTCTTCCGGACCTATGACGGAGCTGAAGCGAGGTCCTTGAAGAAAGACCCCCGGTTTCCTTCGACTGTGCGTGGCTAGAAAAGGAAAGAACTTCAAGTATTTTTTAAACAAAGCTAAAAACCAGTAAAAAAATAAACAAATAAATTTGATCTATGACCTAACATCTACTGAGAGAATACGTAAAGAGAAATTTGCGCCTATTTTTCACAAGCGTTTTGAATCAGGCACATAGCTGGTGAGCTACAGCTCTTCCAAACCCTAACCCACATTGACATTGAGTGCAGGATCGCAGCGGGCAGTGGTTGTGAAACGGCACTCTGGTAGACAGATAGGGGTGACGGGACGAGCAGCTCTTCCCCGGCAGAATGGCTCGCATGATGGGGCTGCTCTCGGCAGCGGTCTGGCCCCTGGGGCTCGGGTCCCGGTGCTTCGCGGCCGGCCGGTCCGCCGTCGCGGCGGGGGTACTTTCGTCGCCGGGCAGCCGCAGGGTGAGCGTCTCAAAAGCGGAGTTTTCAAAACCCGTCCGACCAGCTGAGCTGCTGAAAAAAAGTAGTTAAAAGTACTTCATTTTAAAGCTGGCGACAGTTTTGTAACCTGGGCAAAAAAAGTGTTTTCTCTAGGCCGTTGATGTGAAAAAGTGTTATGCAAATCTGATGCAATGGTCGCTGCCTGACTCCGCAGACGAGAAGTCACGGAGCAGTCGGTACAACGCGGACCGTGTTTGTGCCGGTTCTTAATCAAAGCACCCTACTTATGGTGCAGGAGCTGGACATAACACTTTAAAACGTTATTCAGGGATTTAGACAACATTTACAGAGTTGGTTGTCTCGAAAGCGTTTTTAGTTGAACGGTAAGCAGGGTCTAAGGACTGAGCAACTGAGTAAGCAAATTCCAGCAGCGATGGCAGAGAGATCACAGACTTCACTCTGTATGAGTTGTACCTGTCCTGTTCCGAGCCAAAACAAAACCCTAGTGTGCTGAAATGGTGACCTCTGCCACTACTTCTATGTTACATCTTTACATGCTTTTTTTTAAATTACAGATATTTTCCCTGGACAGACTAAAAAGCTTTGGATTCTGTGAAAAAAATGCTTCATTCCACCGACGACTTTGTTTGAAACCACCAAAAGGTAAATAATGTTACCTTAAAGTTACGGTCCTTGGTCTTATTGTTTCAAAGCACATTTACTGTAGTTTGCTGGCGTCAAAAGTAGAGTTGAAATTGTCATTCTTATTCTATCAAGATTGCAGATTATTCATAGGGTTGCTTAATTGCAACTAGCAAATGGTTACTGATATAACTAATTTATTGTAAAAGTAAGAAACTGTGTGGCTCTTGTAAAACAAAAACTTAAAAGGGCATGGAAATTTGGATAGAAAATAAGATGTATCCAGTTATGAAATCTTCTTTTGTAAATGCTTGTTTTATGTCTTTACTGTAAGGTTTTGATAAGTACTTTCCAAAGAATGAGAAAACGCCTGGGAGAGACAGAGCTGGCAAGACTAAAGGTAATAACATGGAAATCTACCAGGAATTGGGCTCTGTAGATACATTGTTTTAAATCCAGTATTTTAGACATACTGCTTTTTCATGTTTACTAACTTTCTAGATGTTCTTAGCTTACTATGGTAAAGGCTTAGAACATGGGAGTGATGATGTCGAAGAAAACTCTTCACTCAGGTTAGGTGTGGTCCAGCAGGATCCTTGATTCACGCGCATTGAGAGGATACAATCATGCAGATCTGAGAGCAGTCTCTCATACAGATCTGTGAGTAACCTCTCCACCGAGATGGTAAATGCAATGGGTTTTATACAGCAAATTCACTCAGGCTAACCCATTCTAAATTTCCATATTAGGAGTTGTTTTCTCTATAAAAACACTTCTTTGTAATTGACCACTTTGTTTCTGCAGTTTCTAGCATTCACATCAAAATGTCAAATAATATGCTTGCAATTGTCCTTTCATGCTGTTGCTAGGTAAAAGGCAAAGACAAATAGTCACTATCTTATAGACTTAAAAAAGGTAAATGCTGAAATTCTTCCTCAATGGTTACATCAAGTATCTTTCAGGTAAGACCTTACAAGGTCCTGACTGAATGGTCATTAAAGATCCTATGTTACCATTCAAAAGAGTTCGAGGGGCTTGAGCGATCTGATCTTCCTAAGGTTCCCCTTTCATTCAGTCAGTGAAGCAGGTTCACACTTCTTCATCTGATCTGCTGCATCGTGAGGCTCCTGGTGCAGAGTGGCCGCAGGCCAACATCCAGGTTGGTGCTAAACGTCAGTGATAGCTGAAGTGGGTCCTCTCTCATTAAAAAGCATGTTGGGATCCTCCGAGATGAAAAGCTCTGTGTAACTTGCAGGTGAAGTGGCTCTGTGTGGCGGGCTGCTAAACTGGTTCTTTTTGATTGGCAGAGGGGAAGGCCAAGGAGGCGGAGTCTGGAGCAGGTGGCGGGGGAGGGGCCAGTGGTGGGGGAAAGAAGAGTGGGAGGAAGGAGGAGTCTAATTGGTGGAGTCGGGTGCAGAAGGTTAGTGCTGTCACCCCATTCCCTGTGTGCAGGGGCTGGTCCTGTTTTGCTATCGCCTTTGTTGCTTCCATGCATTTGAAGTTCATGCATAGAAACTGGTGCTTAGCTGTCAAACCTGTCATCTTATATTCTCAAGTAGGAAACGGACACATGTTGATATTACACTGTGACACACATGGCTTTTGTAAGATCTGTGACACACATGGCTTTTGTAAGATCAGTGCCACGTGGACATTAGACTACTGATTTTTTGGGTCGGGGCCATAAGGTACTGCCAAGACAAATGGCACAAACAAGTGTTACGTGCTGCTCATATTCACATCGCCACACTTCGTTAGAATGCCTGAAAGAAGTGCAACATGTACCCAATGTTGTGAGATGATTGCATTCACCACATTGTTGAACATTTCTCACCACAGCTGTGCAGTGCCCAGGTGAGGTTTGAAGAGTAGTTGTGAAACAGTCAGTGTTTTGGTGAAATGTTAAGATGCAGAGCTTTTTGTGGTCAGCTGATTCCCTCCTGCACAGATTCGGAATACTTGGTCTGTAGCGAAATCAATTGTGACTCTCCAAGCTGGGTATTAGTATCCAAAGACTCAATTGATCCTTCTTTGATGCCTCTTCTCCAGCTCATACCACTTTGACACATTGTACCATACCAATCTTTTTAAAGTTCATCTGTATCTTTAATATTTGGAATTGGTCAATTAATCCATCATAATACAGTGATTTAATCCTTGTCCTTGTAACACATTCCAGAGTGAATTGAAAATGTTTTTTGCCCTGGTGATTGAAGAGCAGTGTGGGTGTTATTTCTGCAGGGTGATTTCCCTTGGGATGAGAAAGATTTCCGGTACCTGGCCATCGTCATCGCAGGCTTTTCCTCTGGATTCCTGTACTTTTATTTCCGGGACACGGGCAAGGAGATCAGCTGGAAGGACTTTGTCCATTACTACCTGGCCCGAGGACTGGTATGAACGGTGCTGTACTCTGCCACACTGTGTGTTTTGCAGGATGTATAAGATGATTATAGAGCTAGTTGGCCTTGCAATTGCAAGAGGAGCAGTGAAAATTTGTATGGAGCCCCAAATCATCACACTCACACCAGCCTGTGACTCCTGACTCCTGTGTTAACTACACATGGCGAGCCCCCGGGGTGATCTGGCTAGGGTGGAATTTAAACACAGACAAGCGCAATCAGATAATCAAGAGTACGGAAACTTTTCGTCCTGCTCAGAACCAGCAGTGTGCTGTTTATGTGCTATTGCTCTGTTTCACAAGATAATTGTCTGAAGAGGCCAACTTATGTTGTGAACACCCTGCAAAAAATACAGTGCCCCTCTAAAAATTACAGCGTGATACATTTACAAAACAATCAGTTTAAAAAAAAAATGTATTTACTGTATTTTATATTTATTTTGTATTACTGTACATATTCTAATGTTTCGTCTATTCTGATGTCTGTCTTTTTGCTTGTCTTGGGCTGCTGTAACACATCAATTTCCCTTCGGGATCAATAAAGTCTTATCTCTCTATCTAATGTATAATCCCGAAGCATGAGTGCAGTAAATGCAAGGGAGGGATTCTGCACCAGCTACTGTTCACACCAGTGCACTCTGTTCCATCTCCAGGTGGACCGTCTGGAGGTTATCAATAAGCAGTTTGTCCGCGTCATCCTGGCCCCAGGATTGAGGTCGTCGGAGGTGGTAAGACTTGGACTGTGGATCCAGTTTAATCGAGACATAAACACACTAGTGAGCTGTCTCTAACGTAGTTTAAAATCTACCAGCATTCAAACTTTTGAAGTGATTGTGGTCTGTCTTCTTTTATATCACAATGGGCCATCATAAGTTCTTCAGATATTATTTTTAGGTGCGTCTTTATGATAAGAAGTAATTTGGGTAAAAACATCCAAAATTGTCAAATTTCATATTTCAAGGAAGTGGATACAATGCAGATACTGAGGGATCATGAAGAATTTCAGTATGTAACACGCTTATTTTATCATGTATTTTAGAAATCTCTTATTGCAGAGATGTCTAAAAAATGCTCAACAATGTTAAAGCTATGAAAGTCTCTCCAAACAGTACCTATGGTTTATAACTAGGGGGCAGTACTGCAACACTGTCTTCTGACTATACTTAAAGCGCAATGCTTCAGAAAAGGATAAGAGATATTTCAAAGCCAAAAACCTCTGGGCAGATTCTGGACTTTGCTCTCAGAACTAAATGCAGATAAAGCATGACATTATAGATTAATCTATAATTGTTATGATTAGATGTTTGTTACTAAAATGAGTATGCTAATAAAATGAGTATGCTAATATGAGTTTCCACTTCTCCGAAACTGAATTTCAGAAGATTAAAGTACTTTATGATTCCTAAGGGGGCAGCATTGTAGCACAGTGATTTAGCATTGCTGCCTGGCAGGGCTGGGTCCCTGGGCTCAGTTCCTGGTGTGGCACCTGAGTGGAGTTTGCATGTTCTTGTGTTCATGTGGGTTTCCTCTGGGTGCTCCGATTTCCTCCCATAGTCCAAAGATACTGGTAGGTTAATTGTCTTCCAGGAAAGCTGGCCTTGTTGTGAGTCTGTGTGTTGCAGCGCCCTGCAGTGGACTGATGTCCCGTCCAGGGTGTACCCTGCCTTGTGCCCGTTGCTTGCTGGGATAGGCTCTGGCTCCCCCTCAGCCCTGCGTCGGAAGAATCTGTTAGAAGATGGATGTGTGATTACTAAGCCCCCCGTGGTGCTCCAGTGCTCTTTATTGCTTAGGCTCGTGTGTTGTTTTCCCCTGGTAAGCAGCGTTAAACTGAGTGCCGTGCCCCGTGTTTCTTAGAGCTACGTATGGTTCAACATCGGCAGCGTGGACACCTTCGAGCGGAACCTGGAGTCGGCTCAGCAGGAGATGGGCATGGAGCCCTCTCACAGAGTGGCCGTGGTGTACAGCACCGAGAGCGACGGGTGAGAGAGCAAAGCTCAACCAGCCTTTGGCCTGGCAGGCAGATCCCACACACCAGGGGTCCAGCTGGTCCATCTGGCCTCTTCGGAAGCTAGGAGCTAATGGATCCCAGGATCTCGTTCAGCCGTTTCAGGAATCGGCTTCAGCAACATCAGTTGCTTGATCCGGACTCCCACAGCCCTTTCGGTGGAGAAGCGTCTCCTGTTCTTGGTTTTCAGTTCACTGTGTCCTCTGGTTTGTGTTTCGCTCTTCATTCCGAAGACGTCCGCTGGTTAGACGTGGTCACTGTCCTTGTGGATTCCGACCCTTGTACCCACTTCTGGATTGCAATTCTATTGTTCAAAATTAAACAGGTCCATCTATTTCAGTCTGTCAGTCAGTGAAGGACGTTCCCTTTAGCCCTGTAGTGTATTGGGCTGCTTTTCTCTGGACTGAATCTAGAGCAGCAGTTTCCTTTGTTTAACAAGGTGACTGAGATTAAACGCAGGATTCCTGACGAGGCCTTACTAGTGCGTATCATCCCTTCACTTCAGTTCTACGCTCGTAACTATTTCTAGTAAGATTTTGTTTGCCTTTTAAGTTGTTTCCCCACATTGCCTGAAGATGTAAGTAGTGTGTTTCATAGGCAGCCTCTGTTGTCTCCACTCCCCCACCACAGAGAGAGGAGGGGGCTCCTGTCTGTCCTGGGAGCAGGGTACAGCAGACATGCTGGCAGCGACGCTGTTCTGATCTGAAGAGAAGAGAGGAGCTGTGCTTGTGTTGTGTGTGCACACCCCTGCCTGCACTGGCGCCCCAAGGACCCGAGATTGAGAAAGGGCGAATGTCAGCTGGAACAGCCGTGTCCGTATCTCCTAGTAGCAGACGGATCAGAAATTATGAATCACGACTGATCCCTGGGAAATGGCAGCGATCCGGAGCCTCAGCTGCCAGATCCCGCCTGTCCCTGCGGGGATTGTGTGAATCACTTTTCCTCCATCTGCGCTGGTGGTTCACCAGCTGAGTGTTTGTTTGACACAGCTGAGAGCACTTTTAAAAGCAACTTAAAAGTAAATGAAGGGATTTCTCATGGATCAAATAGTGAATATTTACAAAGTTATTTAAGCCCTGGAGTTCTTTTCTTCTTTCTTATTTCACCACCTTACAATTTTCTGCCTTTTGGAAAGTGGTAGCTAATCCCCCGGTATCACAACTGTGTCTGTGTTGTAAATGTCACTCTCTTCCTCTCTCTTGCTCTTTGGATCGTCCAGGTCTTTTCTCATGAGCATGATCCCCACCTTGCTGCTGATTGGCTTCTTGCTCTTCACCCTCCGGCGTGGACCAATGGGAGCGGGACGTGGAGGTCGGGGGGGCGGGCTGTTCAGCATGAGCGAGTCGACGGCGAAGATGATGAAGGACAACATCAGTGTGAAGTTCAAGGATGTGGCCGGCTGCGAGGAGGCGAAGATAGAGATCCTGGAGTTCGTCAACTTCCTGAAGAACCCCAAACAGTACCAGGACCTGGGTGCCAAAATCCCAAAGGTATCACCACCCTGCGACACCTCATTGCATTTTATTTCTTCAACGTGATATACATTTTAAAGTCAGACAAAATTCAGGCAAAGATTTACACACTGCCATGTCTTTTCAATTAAAAAAAGCACATCTTAAATTAAAATGTTTTTTTCAGGTTCTAAAAGTCTTAATCAAGGAAGTCTGGTGTCTGCTATTTTTTTCCAACTGGTTCCTTAATTGAAGAATTAACTGAACTAATAATTTGCTTAATTAGACCTGCGTAGTAGTTTTCAGCCCCTAACGAATTGCAAATTTAACCTTTTTCCCAGTAGTTTGAATGCCCCCAGCTGAAAAGTTTTAATTAAGCATGTTATAACTGAAATTGAGCTCTTCAGCTGGAGTAGAAACACTCAAGACACAGGAGTAAAATCAGAGTTGAAATATCAGAGTTGAAATGTAAAAATGTGGATATTCACAGCTCTGGAGGCTGGGTTTTTCTGTAGGACACAGATGCATTGTATCCAGTTTTGCGTTTTTAATAAACCAAGAACTGTCGTCTGTGAAATTGAAATTCTGAAGTATTAGTTAAAGGTAAAAACATCCAGGATAGAAATGCCTCCTTATCTCTCCTTAATCAGTGTGATTTTAAGGCGTTGTGCGATTGTGATGCTTCAGGCCTGTGTGATACTCCGGGAGGGTCAGGGGTCAGGGGTCAGGGGTCAGGGATCAGGGATTCAGTGCCAGCTCCCTGCTTGCCTCGGGCGTCGCATGCTGACCCCCTGTCCTCCTGCTGCGTCCCCCCAGGGCGCGATACTGTCTGGGCCTCCGGGGACGGGCAAGACTCTGCTGGCCAAGGCCACAGCGGGCGAGGCCAACGTGCCCTTCATCACCGTCAACGGCTCGGAGTTCCTGGAGATGTTTGTGGGCGTGGGGCCTGCCAGGGTGAGCCACGGCCATGTGTCCCTCCTCCACCGTGAGGCGCTATTCTGGATCGCATGTTACCAAATGCTGAATTATTTGACTGGCTGGTGCAGAACGTGTGAACAGCGATCGTGTCCTTGAAAAGATGTTGCTGTGGCCATGATTGTTTGCTCTGCCCGTCCTGAAGGGTGACGAGAAACGAGGTGGCAAAAGTCTGTTGAGTTGCTGTGTTTAGTGAATGAGGTTTATTTCTCCTTGATTCCCTTTTTTCCCCGCAGAAGGTCATCCCATGCTTTTAATGCAGTTAAAAGTTTAATCGACTGTTTAATTGGCTCCACGATTAGCTTTAAACAAAGTGGACAGATATAATTTAAAGTTTCTGGCCCTGCTGTCCTTTTAAGATTTTTCAGAACAGTGTCTTTCTAAAGATAAATGTTGAATTTGGTTCGCCGTCTCATTCCCCTAAGCAGTCGTGTGTGCAGAGAAAAAACATCACGTCAGCGCCTGTTGTTCTCGAAGGTGTAGTTGATTGCATCTCTATTTCCTTTTTCTGAGAGTGAGAGCCAAAGAGTTAAGATGCGCTCAGCGATCATCATCCCCAGTCATCGGTCTGCTTCTTTCCTGCCTCAGGTTCGAGACATGTTTGCGATGGCCCGTAAGAATGCCCCCTGCATCCTCTTCATTGACGAGATTGATGCAGTGGGCAGGAAGAGGGGGCGGGGCAACTTCGGGGGGCAGAGCGAGCAGGAGAACACGCTGAACCAGCTGCTAGTGGAGATGGATGGTGAGTCAGGGGAGAGACGTGCTACTTGGCCAAGTGCTCTGGGTCACTGTCCTGCTGAGAGGTGAATGCCCAAATGCATATCCAGAGCTGAGTTCTCAGTCCATCGGAGTGGTCATTCTAAAATCAATCTAAATACAAAACCCAAAACTCATTTCCTGGGCAAGAGCATATAGGAACTACAGAAAACAAAACTGAGCGTGTTCTGTCGCACGTGTTGGAAGGAAGACACACGCAGCGGAGAGTCATGGATCAGCAGGGGAGTTTTGTTACTGTACGTCTGCTTTCAGGTTTCAACTCCAGTACCAATGTGGTGGTTTTGGCGGGGACCAACCGCCCAGATATCCTGGATCCAGCCCTGATGAGGCCAGGCCGTTTTGACCGGCAGATTTACATAGGTACTGTCTTGCCCTGATGCTCTCTCACTGCACTGCACGGCGTCCTCGATGGCTTCAGAAAGTGAAACACGTTCTGTTCCCTGCGACACAAGCGGGGATTAAGGATTGGTGGTAGGGATATGTTTTACTGCTGCCCCTTCAGCCAGCCCTGTAATCCCTTTATCCCTTGAAAATGAATATCTCCTGTAGATTTAATGAAAGGAGCTTTTCCATTTTAACTACTGGATGTTGTGGTGCTGCCAACAGTAATCCTCAGAAGAGATATTGTAGGATTATTGGTAGGAATCTCGGAACACTAATGCATTTTAAACCACGTTATTTAACAAAACAAACAAGCTGTATTTACAGAAAAGAAAGGCAATAACAGAGGAGAGATGGCACTGTGGAAAATGTCAGGTCTTAAAGTGCAAATTAGAATTTTGAAAAATAACTCTGGTCAGAACCAGTTCAGCTGGCAGATCGCATCCTTCCCTTTTCTTAGTCCTCAGTGTTAAGAGATGCCAGTCTGCAGGTCTTGTTGGAGCACTAACGCATCCTAATCGGTGCTCTTAAGCTCTTCTTTTAAATACATTGAATACATTGACTTTAAATACAAATACATTGACTATCAAGTAGTTGTTCCTTGTATTTGTTCCTTTTTTTATCTTCTTAACTGCAACACTCTCTCCTTCTGTTTGTTGGAGAGGAGAACGGTACAGGATGAAAAGTGTATTAAAAGCTAAAGACCTGTATGAGGAGGTTGTGTGCAGGTCCTGTCTGGGCCGTTTCTGTCGCCTCAGAGTGAATGCTCTGCAATCTCCCCCAGGCCCCCCGGACATCAAGGGCAGGGCATCGATCTTTAAAGTCCACCTGCGGCCCCTGAAGCTGGATGCCAGCATCGACAGAGACGCTCTGGCCAGGAAACTGGCGGCTCTCACTCCGGGCTTCACTGGTAAGAGTGCCGCTTGCTCAGGCGAGGCTGATGGCTTGGCTTTGCAGCACAGGAAGCTTCTGTGTGGGAGTCTGTGGAAGCCTTTAACCTCAGACTCCTACTGAAAGTGCAGAGTAACTGCACGGGCAAGGTGGTGTTTCCTGCTCCCTGGGATTTCCTCAGGATTGAATTGAGTTTGTATAATGCTGGAAGAGAGTGTAACCTACGAAACCTCTTCATTTGTCCTTGAGGTCCCACTGTCGAAGTAAAAATTAATTTTTGCTGCAAATCCGTCGAATTTGTCTGAGAGATTTTGAAACCTGTTTCAGACTTGATCGGACAAACTATGCTCTTACTTGTATACAGTTTCGTTTTGAAATTCAGGCTTTTTCTTAACTCAATGCCTGCTTGCTGTCATCCAAAATGTGAAAAATAATGTTTCCATTATTGCTTTCTTTTCTGCAGGAGCTGATATTGCCAATGTGTGCAACGAAGCGGCCCTGATCGCTGCCAGGCATTTAAACGAGTTTATTATTGAAAAGCACTTCGAGCAGGCCATCGAACGCGTCATTGGAGGTGAGTCAAGTGTGTCTCCTGTGGGCAGAGCTTTGCTGAGAGTAGGCACAGTCAGACTACCTGTCCCTGCTGCCAGTATTTAATTAAAGCAGCAGGGGAGTCTGTGAATCCCAGTGGCCAGACTTGAAAAGCCTCCCTCGCGCTGGTGGAGAAACAAGTGGGTATTGCAGAAACCATCTGCTCCCCCTAGAAGGCTTAGTCTCCCTGTGTTCATTGTTTGTAGAATGCAAAGCTGGGAACTTTGAATTGTACAGGTAGTATTGACTGGCTAAAGCAATATCGGGCAGCTCAGGTCATTAAAAATCTCAGACGTGATTAATCAGTGCCTCCAGCTGAAAGGTCTGTATCCTGGATCGTGTAAACAGACTGCCACTTGCACTTTTGTTCAATGTGAAGCAGACCTGGCAAGGTAGCAAAGCTGCACATCCTTCGAGCGATGAGATCAGTGTCCAGTGGGCTCACTGGACGTCAGGCGTGACGCGTCCTAACATGTCTATTTCCTATGTGCATTCGGCACTCTGTGGATCCGCCGCTGTTCGGTCTGAGAAGCTTGTTCAGAATGACTGTGAGAACTCGGCCTGCTGTCATGAACTGGGTTCTACAGCTCAGGGGACAGTAGATCTGCCAGATGCTCGCGGCCTGCTGCTCCGCTGTGTCAGCAAGACAGTGTTGGGCAGGGCCAGCAGCAGAGCACTAGCAGTGAGGCGCTTGTAAGCTTTGTCACGAAGTACATAAGAGATTCAATCAGCTCCTCTTTGCTTTATTGCCTTCTGTAGCCCCCTGCTCAAATGTTTGACTCGTCATTGACTTGTTTCCTATCAGCAGAAATGACTGATTTCACTTCACTGTCTCAATACTTTGTACTGTATGCATCATATATGACAGCCCCCGTAAACATTCGGTCACAGTTTTCCTGTGCCTTGTACAGTGCCTGCAGTGATTTGAGCCTCTTTATCATGTGGCAAATGCTATCACTGGAAAATGCACCACTCCCTTCCCACGCCCCTCAGAAGAAGACCCCGGCAGCGAGCACTGAGTTATTGCTTTACAAGGTGGAGGCCTGTGAAAGCAGAGCTCGAGACGGGAGGGCTGTGGGTAGTCTGCACGTCTAACCCCGACGCTCTCCCGCCGTCCCCTGTCGCGTGCAGGGCTGGAGAAGAAGACGCAGGTGCTCCAGCCGGGGGAGAAGAAGACGGTGGCGTACCACGAGGCCGGACACGCCATTGTGGGCTGGTTCCTGGAGCACGCCGACCCCCTTCTCAAGGTACAGCCTCTCTCCTCCCAGTGTTTGCCAGGAACCGTTCTGCCCGCCGGCAGGCTGAGGTCATACGGGTGTTCTGGCACCGAGAGTCCGTGCCGCACTGTGGAGGAGCCACTTACGGTATCCAGGGTGATGGCCGGGATTTCAGTTCCAGATCCCAGCTCTCATTCCGCGACTGCAAGACAGGAATTGGAGCTGGCGTGAAAGAGAGAGCTGGAACGAAATAACAGTAACCGGCCATGACCAGTGACGGAGTGAAGGAAGTTCAAGATGCTCTAGCAGGTGATGGTGCAGCAGCACCAGAGAGAGAAAAGGCAAATATCTGATTGCTTGGCTGCAGGAAGTAAAAGAAGCCCCAGCTGATGTGTAAATTTGTTTTTATTCCTGGGCCTGGCATTAAATGGCTTTCTTTATTAAAATAATCTTTAGCAGCTTCCTCTGTGATTTACCAGAGTGCAATTTTATCTTTAACCTGTGTTGTTTTTAATTGATATTTTCTGTCTGCTCGCCTCAGGGTTGAGTGTATCCTGGAACACGTCCTCACTGAAACTGAGATTTCTTCTGCTTTCAGAAAGATGACATTTATTGACAAGCCAAAGTCCTAGATCTCTTACTCCGGTTCTTCCTTCTGAGAAGGAGAGACACGGGGTGTAACATTGGGGTCCAGGTGCTGCCCCCCACCTGTCCCTGGATAGTGTTCCTTGCTGTGTGTGTCGGCTCTCCTGGCAGGAGTGGGGGACGGTGCCGGAGGCCGACACACGACACTCACGCTGTCCTCGCTCCCTGTGTCCCCACGCAGGTGTCCATCATCCCCCGCGGGAAGGGCCTGGGTTACGCCCAGTACCTGCCCAAGGAGCAGTACCTGTACACGCGGGAGCAGCTCTTCGACCGCATGTGCATGATGCTGGGAGGCCGTGTGGCGGAGCAGCTCTTCTTCGGGAAGATCACCACCGGGGCCCAGGACGACCTGAAGAAAGTCACGCAGTCCGCCTACGCGCAGGTACGGCGGTGCTGCCCCCTCCTCGCTGCCCCGTGCGTCTGCTCTCACCTGCCTTCTGCTGTTCTGGTCCCCCTTCTTCTCCACTGCCTTCTGATTTCTGCAGTTTTTGCTTTTCATTATTCTCTTTCTCTTCCTTTGTTCCCTTTATTGCTGAGTTTCTGTCTTTGATCTGTCTTTTCCCTGCTCCATTTAATACAGCACTCGGTCAGAGAGAACTGGGGAATAATGAGCCCTCTCAGCTTCCTCCGATAACATCAGTTCTGTGTTGAAAGGGCCGAAGATGTTCGATCTTATTTCTGATCTTTTAAGCTTTGAAAACTACCCATCCTACCTTTAAGAGTATATATTGTAGGTTTCAATAATTAAAGCTACAGTAAGCATACCACTCTTAATCCATGTTCATCTCACTGTTTATTTCTTAGATGGGCTTCAGTCTCTTTCACACATGAGAGGAGCTCCTAGAAATCAGATTGCTTTCCAAAGATCATATTAACACAGTTCTCTTTGTGGTTTTCATTAATATTTATTCACAGAAGATGGAAAAAATAATTTACTTAAGTATTGAGAGTGGTCTGTTGGTCTGCACTATTTAAAGCCAAATTCAGTCACAGGTCTTGGGTATTGCAGTATGGGTTTTGAGTAAGGGGTTGGATCATCCCAGCCGCCAAGCAGAAGAAGAAGTGACACAATTCAAGTGATTAACTTCTGATAGTTTTTTAATCAGGGATTTTTTAAAATTCATTTTATTCAATGGCAGCCATTGATATAAGTAAACATGTCATTTGCGCTATACAGATATGATGCAAATCAGCGATCTGTGTTGTTCAAATCCATGGATGGCTCTTAAATCGCAGTTTCAGTGCAGAATGAAAGCAAGGGTATGTTTCATGAGTGGAAAGAGGAGAGGAAGGGTGCCCAGCATTCGTGACCAGTACACTCTGTACGTGTTGCCTTGTCCACAGATTGTGCAGTTTGGCATGAGTGAGAAGGTGGGCCAGGTGTCCTTTGACCTGCCGCGGCAGGGCGAGGTGGTGATGGAGAAGCCATACAGCGAGGCCACGGCACAGCTCATTGACGAGGAGGTTCGTGGCCTCATCAGCACCGCCTACGAGAGGACCCTGAGGCTGCTCACCGAGAGGAAGGAGCTCGTGGAGAAGGTGAGTCGGGCAACGGGCAACGGGGCCGGACTTGCCAGTGTCAAAGTCAAGTCGAAGGCATTGAAAACAAATATGGCTTTTATCGTGGGTGACAAACCTCATACCTTTGCTTTTATTAAACCCTCCTGTGACCTGTCTGCTGCTGGCAGTTTACTGACCCAGTATTTGATTTGGGATTTTGGTGGGGTAAAGTGAGATTCCCACATCATTCAAAAACCACACCATCGTGCGTTTGGTTTGTAGTGTGATTTTAGATCGGAGTTTGATTTCATCCTGGACTGAACCCGGAGTTTCTGGGAAGCGAGTACTGAAGCCAGGTTGTGTTGCGGTGCTGTGCCGGCAGGTGGGCAGGAGACTGCTGGAGAAGGAGGTGCTGGACAAGGCGGACATGGTGGAGCTCCTGGGGCCTCGGCCGTTCACGGAGAAGTCCACCTACGAGGAGTTCGTGGAGGGGACGGGCAGCTTCGAGGAGGACACCAGCCTGCCTGACGGCCTGAAAGACTGGAACCAGGAGAGGGCCAGTCCGCAAGAAGAGCCTCCCCTGGCGCAGGAGAAGCAGGCCTTGTAGGGCAGCCCGGATCTGAACCCAGGTATGGCTGACAGCCCCTCAGGGCAGGGATCACACCCACCAGGCTGCAGGAGGCCTGAAGAGGAGGTCTGGGACACTGAACATGTTGAGGGCTGCCAGCGTTCCTCCAGTCAGGACCTCCCTTTCAGGTGACGGACCTTTTTAGGTTCAGGTTTTTTAAGATGCCAGTTTTATTACAGAAGCACTCCTGGAACTCTATAAGGAGAGGACCGTTACCCAAACAATGCCTTAACAGTCCCCTGCGCGTCTGACTATTCTGTCCCCAGGGCGCAGTAAGCAGAGTGACAGAATTGCGTCGGGCGCATCATCAATGAGGATCAGTAACAAGCCTGTGAAGTTGCTGTGCGAGTGCTGTAGTGACATGGCAGCTACGTTTGTACGTCGTTCCTGTTCATTTATATGAAATCATGTTTTGTGAGCGGTGCAATATAGATCCCGTTCACCCTCGTTTGATGACATCATGTTTTTACCGTCTTGGAAACTCAGAAATGTATACTTTCTTGACAACCTCTGTAATGTACAGTTTTAATTTAAAAAGATTTTTGCAACGTCGGAGCTTTATAATTGTCAGCTGCAGTTATCCATAGAGCTAGAAGGTTTGTTTAGTTGTGCTAAGTGAGGTAGTTGACAGTTGCAGACCATTACAAATATCTTATCCTACCAGAAGGTCAAATTGGTTTTTAAATATAAATATTAAAAGGTATGCTGTTTGTGCTTTTTCTTTTTTAATTTAAATGAATAACAGGGAGGCTTTCTTCCAAAAAGAGGGAAATATTTTTTATAAAGTAAGAATGAATTTATGATGCACTTTTTCAAACTGCCTGAATTATAATACACCCAATATTTATCTTACTTCAGATTTACTAATAAGGTAAACCACGATTTGTGTGGATATTGTGTGATTGATACATCTATTACTTTATACTGAAATGTTTGCAGTTTCATATCGCATGAAACTTTCACCTTAACTAGAAGTTAACTACACATTCTCCTGTCTGTTGCCTGCACTGCAGAAGGCCAATACTGATGGCTGCTAGATTGAGTCACATGTTCCTATCTGGGGTGGACCAGCCAATCAGGAGGCTGTTTGAGTCGCATATTCCTCTCTGGGGTGGGCCAGCCAATCAAGAAGCTGTTGGATTGAGTCACATGTTCCTCTCTGGGCTGGGCCAGCCAATCAGGAGCAGTATAATTACTCATGAGACCAGCTCCTGACATGCATTACCGCACAGTGACACAAACACATTCCATACTGTACCATCAGATGGACAGGACAGCAGTCTGGATAGTTTGACGGTTTATTTGAAAAACAATATTGTTGTCCCTTGGCTCTTCTTGTACTGAACAGAGTTGCCATTGCAAGAACACTTCATAAAGTAGGATAAAACGTACCTGTCCCATGTGCTGTTCTAACCACTGCTCCAGCTGTGCATGTGAAACCAGTGTCCTGCACCAGTGTGCAGCAAGGATTAAGACCCAAGCTAACGGATCAGTCCATCTGCTGTATTGCTATGTTCTCTTTGCTACCTAGTTTTGAATGAGAAAAAAGTTTGAAAAGGCAACCATCTTGCATGACCACTAACTTGTAGTGTTTAACTGAAAAAACAGCAAATATAATTTTAAGATTTTATAAATCTCCACTGACAGATCAAGATTTTGTTTAGTTAAAATCACTCTTAGAAACCACAGCGCCGTTCCTCTTACTCTCTAAGAGGGTCCAGATCATTAGATCATGGAAACTAATTGGTGCCATCGTCAATGAGGGTGCATTGCTCCCAGCATTCCTGAGCGAAGGCACCGAGAGGTGTCGTACAGCAATGATCTATAGCTCTAACACTGCAGCGTGCCAGAGATGTGCTATTCCTGTATTCCTGTGGGACCTCCAAGACACTTTCCACTTTCTTTTTAATCATATGGAAAACACTCCGTTTAAAAGAAGAACACCATAATTTGACAGATAAAACTGACCCTAGAACAATTCCATAGCCAGTGAATTGGGTCTGCTGTTGGCTCAAATCTCTGTTGTCTTTCAGAATAGTTCATTTAATGTATTACATTAAAAGGCAAATTCAGTAAATTTGTATCGGGGCTGGAGTTCTGTTAACCATTACAAAACAGTTTGATTGATTTCTGGGTTTGCTTATATTTCTTGAGGAAGCAAGGAATGGCAACTCATCTATGCAGATTAATTCTAAATAAGGTATCATGTACAGTATGAAATATCTCAGAACTGATGTTACATTAAGGGTCCGTACCTTGTGCAGCCTGAAAAGGTTAAAAAGTGCAATAGGAATCTTATTTCCCAAGCTGGTTGGTTACTATATTAACAAAACCACATTTTGTTTAACTCTTTGCAGACATTCATTTTTCCTCTTTAATCCACATTTTGGTCTAGCCAAAAGGGCTGTTTAACTTGGTTTGGGTTGACACCAGGGATGCGCTCTAAAATGTGGCTGGTTCTTCCTGGTCACGCTGCAGGTCTTGAGCTGTCAGCTGGAGGGCTAAACCGCCAGCGGTCTGGCCTGGTCCGGAGCCACGGTCACACCAGAGAGTGGTATGATAGGGGTTTTCTCTCTGACAGGCTACAGACCCGTTAGGAGGAGTGACCACTTAGTGTTGGCTCACGATGCACATTTTTAATAGCCAATCTTCTGGTTGTGAAGGTACAGATTTGATTTTCTCTGTTTTGTTATGGTGAAGTTGTAGTGACCTCTACAATAGGCAGTTTTATTTCTTGCTGCCAAAAACCTTCCTTTACCTTAGGCGTCAATAGATAGTGAAAATATTGTGCTTTCTACAATTTTACAGAATCTCCAGTAATGCTGTTTAATCAAGCAAACGTGCCATTGGATTTCTTACCTTCTATCTACTGTCTCCATTATCTATCTAGTCTGTCTGGACACGAGATTGCCTGCCTTGCTAAAATTCATGATTTACCTTTTTTAATTTTACTTGAATATTGAATTCATAATGGGCCTTTTTGTAGACATTTAGTTGGTGCATTCCAAACAGGTAACTAACAGGGATTAGGATTGCATGTGCGCAGCTGTGATGAAATGGAATGGTGTGCAAGAGCACATGGCCTCCATAGGCTTGAGATGAAGCAGGTACTTTACAAGTAAACTGTCTTCATAGAAATGCAGCGGCTCTCTGTTGGATTTCAGCAGTGCTTTCTTGGACATTTGTGGACCAAGGGGAGAAATTCAAAGGGAGTTTCAGTTCTGGAGAGAGAGAAGATGAGCTATATGAAATTAAAAAAACGAAGGAATATTGCTGTGTAAGGACACGATAATTAATAAAAGATAAAAAGACTGCTTTTTCACTTTTTTTTTTGTTATTGCATGGATGTTACCTGAGCTTGAAGAGAACTCCTCAGCAACCCACGTTAACTTCGGAACATCTGAACAGTTACAGATGAGAGATGGCGTTCAGTGCACCTAGGCTCTCTGGTAGCAAGTAGCAAATTTATCTCATCAAGCTGCTTCTTGTCAGAAGCCAGGATATCCGGTTCTTTCCAAGGCGGGATCTGCAAAACTCTGACCTATAGTTAAAGGGATGTGTAAGCAGAAATGTTCAGGGAGATCTGAAATAGTAGGTAGGATCTGCAGTAGTCGGATTGATCTGAAGACCATCTTATGATCTCAATCCTAGATTCCTTAAAAAAACAACCTGGAGCTTGACCCTTTAGTGTTTGTATACCGTATGCGAACAGGAAAACCCCAGATCACTCTTTAGTACAATATTACAGAGGTCAGAGGTTGTGTTGCTGAGTATAAACAGTACTATATACTGCTGAATGAGTCACCAAATCTGATTAATATCATGATTAAATATCAATATTAATATTTTATTTAATCATGATTTGTTAAATTGACAGAATTCAAAGCAGATTTTCTCCTATTGAGGATTGTTTCACGGAAGTTCTGTTGTACTAGATTAGTATCATACAATTATAAGCTACAGAAATTGAAATAGTTGTATCTGAGTGCTAGTAGCACAGCACTGAAACCCACGTCCCAGGGGCAACTTCTAAAGCACATAATTAATAGTAAAGGTCCCAGCACAGACCCCTGTGGAACACCCTAAGCATACGGGACAACATCAAATTTTTATAACTTTCAGGACTTATGAATTGGCTTCTGGTAGCCAGGTAGGAGCCAACTGAACAGAATATTTACCCCTAATTCATAGAAACTCCACGTCTACGTGAGTTATCGGGATGAAAGCTTTAAAAGCTGCACTTCCACTCTATAAGGAGAAGAGTGTCAAGAGACCCATCAGAAACTCTTAAGGGCTGTTTCAGAGCAGCCAAGGAAGAGGTTTGAAGAGCTTGTTAGGAACAAGAAAAGACTGGATTTGAGCTGCTGCTCCTTCCCATTCCAGACATTTTGCAAGAAAAAGCTGATTGGAAGCAGGATGAGAGCTGTTTAGTACTCCAGGCTCCCGCTGGGTCTGTTTAATTTGTGTCAGACCGCAGCTGAATGTTTGAACAGGACAAACGCATGGAAACCGCTCAGCCTGTGGCTGTCTGTTTGCCCTTCTTCTTTCAGTGCCTAAATAAGGACATGGGACAGCATGTAGTTTGTAAGACATTGTGTTTTTGAAGCCTCTCTTTTCATGCCAAACTAATTGGTGTAATTTGGGCTAATGAGCCACGTAGCAGACAAAGAATCCCTTCCCCTATCTCACCCCCTGCTCTCATGCTGACAAGTCAGTTCTTTCAGTGCCTTGTCCTTGTAAAGCCAGTGATGATAATCCTCTAGCTGGGCCTACTCCTACCTGTATTTAGCTGCCATTATTGAAGCTCTTCAATACCTCCGTGCTATGAGCTGGGAGTCACAGCCCTGTAAGATCCCTTTCAGCTTTGGAAAATCACAAGCACGTCAGTCCTGTCTCGTCTCCCGGCCAGGTGTCCAGTCTCAGAGCAGGGGTCCAGTTGCATTTGTTGTGTTGATTCCTGCTCTTGTGGGAACGACAGGTGTTCGGAGGAATGGAATTTCACCTTGCAGCCATGAAAATCTCATTTGCTGAGACTCCTGCCTGAGAGCGACCTGCTCACAGCTCAAAATTCATGTGGGCAGTTTTCCGTGTTAAAATCCATGGGAAGTTAATCACCATGTTTAATCTTACCTTGTGTAAGATTTCCTTCAAACAGGATAAGCGAGCTGTCTGGCTGACTTCAGCCTACAGTAGCTCATCCGCAGAGCGAAGCAGATGGGGCTCCTCCACCTCAGTCTTTCCTCGTACGAGCTGGCTGCAGTGGGTGCCTTGCCTTTTTTGGATAGGCTTGATGTTGCCACCATATTTAGAACAGAAGAATATTTACAAACGAGAGGAGGCCATTGAGCCCATCTGGCCCATCTGGGAGTTCGTGGTCAATGGATCCCAGGATCCCACCAGGCGCTTCTTGAATGAAGCCCAAGTACTGGCCCCACCCACATGGCCGGGTTGCTTGTTCTACAGTCCCACAGGCCTTTGAGTATAAAGATGTGCTCCTAGTCTCTTCCACATAATTTCCACTGGTGTCCTCTGGTTTGTGGCTTGCTGTTCATTCTGCAGAAGCCCACTCTGTTGTCAGGGCTTCCTGCTCCAGACTAAAAAGTTTAGGTTCTTCAGCCTGTGAGTATAGGACATTCCTTTGTCCCAGAATGTATCTGCTTTGTCTTCTCCGGGCCGATCCCAGTCCAGCAATTGCTTGTTCTAGCGCTGTACAGCCAGTAAATAGGCTGGGGAAGATGTTGAGGTCGAAGAGGACCCTAGTATTGGATCACAAACTTGAATATAGTCCCTTCATGGGCCTCATTGTTTATTCCATCTATTTATTTTGAATTTTATGTAAAATCATAAAAACACAGACCTCTGTAAGTAACCAAGATTCAGGCCATTTCATTGTGAGACTTCAGGCTAGATTATTTCAACAGTTTTCTTGTGGGAATTCTCTGCAGTCTGGTGAGAGGCGCTGTGCAGCTCTGAACCTGGAGGTGCCTGTAAGAGACCATGACTGAACCCATCGGGGGGACAGATCAGCGCTTGTTATGGGGATGTTATCCACAGTGCAATGAGGTGCAAAAGAGGGAAGAAAACTATAGACCACATGAGTGACACTTAAATCCCATTGGAAATTTGGAATAGTTTGTCCTTCCAGTCCACCCAAAGCTCTGCTGTGAATGTCATACTTTTACGAATCTAACTTCCACTAGAGTTACTTGACCCAAATGCTATTTTCATAGAGATGGAAGTCCATAATTAGAACATGCTTACATAATAAAATTCTCAGTTCTCTCAAAATCCCTAATCCATGGCTAAGAATGGAATATCTCTCAAGGTGATAGTATGTGCTGTAGGGTGTTTGTGCTACACTGTTTCTATAAAATCCTTCAAAATGATAAATTAAATCCAATGTAATTTCTTTAACATGTTTCTGTAGATAGTGCCGTAACAGTTACTTTTAAATTACATATTGGTTTATGAAATTCTCACGATTATTGAATTTCACTGTATAGCTGTCAAAGCACACTTACAAGACCTGTGGGGACTTGGCATCCCAGTGGGGAAACTACCATCTGTGAAAAAAATGAAACCCTGATATTCTAAAGGTAATTAAAGTGTATTTCCAAAAATACAAATTCTGATATTTTAGCACAAGTCAGCTTTGGTTTCGTTTCCAAGGGGAATTAATAACATGCCGGGCAGTTGTCAGTTTGAACTACTTTAGAAACAAAGCAAACACAAAACCCCAAACATTTTAATTTGATTTTTTTTTCCAAGGAACTGCAGTATTCACAGAACGGACTCCAGGCAAAGCTTTTTTTACTTGAATGTACTTTATTGAATGTCAGATCCAGTGTTTCATGTATTATTAGTGAGGGACTAGTTATGTCAGCTGTCCATTCGCATAGGCAGGCAGATTTGCCTGTGATAGATATGACCTATGAAACCACAATGGGTTCACATCAGTCCTACCCTGTTTCACAACCGAGAGAGAGAAAAAAGGATTTGACATCTCGTTATAACATTAGTAATTTGGTTCCTTGTGCTACAGTAGCAGTTAGTCATTTGGGGAAACCATAGATACAATTACTTGAAAGGCAGCAAATTATAGGCTTGTGGTTTACACATTAAGTTACAGCAAAGCACTGCAGGAAGTTTCCTGCTGTTAGTGAGCTTATGGTCTTCACGTTGTACAGTACATCAACATCTCAGTGCTGAAAGAATATCGCTAAGGGACATTTCACATTGTTATGATTCCTGCGTACAAGCAGGGACGGTGGTCTTGACTTGAGTGGTTGTGCGTTAAACCTATTTCTGCCATGTTCTCTCCAGCAGGATGTTGCTTTTGGGGCACAAGGCTTCCCAAGCTCAGGGTTCACGAAGGTAACCATTTCATCCAAACTGGCCAAGGCCAACGAAATCCCAGTACGGAAAACATCAGTGAAAGTGCAGCCCGTGAACACAAAGGATGTGCTAATAAAATCCCTCACAGCGACACATGTGTATGTATTTATAGGTGTCCACTCCTAGCTTGGCTTCTATTAGTTTACAGTGCACAGCATTCAACAGCAATATCTCTTTAGCACCATGGGTTGGTGGGGGCAGTCCTGGCTTGTGCTGGCCGGTGACGGACTCAGGGCTGCTTGGGCCGGTCCATCTTGAGGAAGGGCTCTGTGTTCTCCGAGTCGCTGGGGTTCTTCCTCTCCCGGGGCTGCTCCCCTTTGCCCCGTGTCCAGGAGGGGGAGCGCAGGTACCCGCAGCGAGGAAGAGGAGGCTGGTGGCCTGCGAACACAGAGCAGAGGTGTCACCCTCGCAGACGGGCCCTGTACATGTAGAACTTGTGTGTGACTTGGGCAAACTTGTGTTCTGTATTCGGCTGACTTGGGCAAACTCTTGTGTTCTGCACATTTTAGAGAACATCTACCCATCTTTTGACCGCTTCTTCCAATTCAGGGTAGCGACAGAGCCGGAGCCGATCCCAGCAAGCAACGGGTGCAAGGCAGGGTACACCATGGACAGGACGCCAGTACATCTTGGGGAACACACTCACACCAGGGCCAGTTTTCCCAGAAACCAATTAACCAAGTACAGTATGTCTTTGGACTGCGGGAGGAAACCAGAACACCCGGAGGAGACCCATACAAACACAGGGAGAACATACAGACTCCACAGAGACAGCACCCCAGCTCTGGAATCAAACGCGGGGCTGCAGCACTGCGGTCTTAGAGAATGTATTGTAAGAAATGCATCTGTTTGCAGAGGTGCATTGATGATATGTCAGTCATGCCTTGCCCAGCAGAATACATGAGAAGACATCCCTAAAAAACTTGGGACACACCTCAGTACCACTGCCATCGCGATTAATCTGAAAATCTGTAGCTGGACCTTCTGCTCTTGGAATTAAAGTTGTGTAATTATGTGCTCATAAATAGTGCAATTTAAAATATTGCATTAAAAAACTAAAATTATCCCATATTCAGTAAACCACAGAAGTGTTTGGTGTAAGCCTTTTTTTAAGTGTAGGTTGGGCTAAGATGAAGTGATATCACTCCAATAAGGACAACCCCCATTAATCATCTTTGATGTTCTCGGATAGGAAAGCTGACATTTATATTTAATAAGCACCTCTTGCTGGAAACTGATTCCATAAACATATACAGTAAGTGAAACAAGGATTGACTGATGACTAATTTACAGTGATGATCAGTCTCTGCAGAGCTGAGTGCACACAACAAACACCGGTCTGTTGGAAGCCCAGTTAGAGCTGTGCAGAAACTTTCACACTGGTTCTCTCAATGGTGTCATCCATCCATCAATTTTCTAACCACTTCATCCAATTCAGGCTCATGGGGGAGCTGGCATCTATCCCAGCAAGCAACAGGAGGATGGCAGGGTACCTCCTGGATGTGATACCAGTCCACTGCAGGGCACACACAGACACAAACACACACACACACACTCACCAGGGCCAGTTTCCCAGAAGCCAATTAACTACCAGCAGATCTTTGGACTGTGAGAGGAGACTGGAGCACCTGGAGAAAACCCAGCAAAAACAGGGAGACCATACAAACTCCACACAGAAAGCTCACCAGGAATCGGACCCAGGGCCCAACACTGCGAGGCAGCAATGATAAGCACTGTGCCACCTTGCTGCCCTCAGCAGATTTATATTCTGAGATAATGAAAGCTCAGAGGGGTTACTGGACGCAGAACTGTAAGAATGGGCATGAGTCAGGTTTATTACTTTTTTATTCTCTTTATATTGAATAATATATTTTATTCTCTTTATATTGAAGTCATCATATCAACAAATTCAAACCAGATAATAGATAATCTCACAGGTATCAAGTAAAGAATTTAAAGCAAGACCTCATATTTGTTATTTGGGTAAAGCCAACCAGACTCATTCTTTTTTTTTCCTGCTGTGAAAATTGACCACAGAATTGCAAATCATACAGTGCCTAACCCATTTTCTCTCCTTCTCTTCAGAGCTGCACTATTGATCTCTGGTAGATTGATAGTACCAGTGCAGAATTTAATGAGCATGCATTTACATCCTGTTCACTGGGTCTGAGGTGTCCTGCTGCACTCGCCGAGCGGGTGGGGAGAGGAAGGGAGATGAGTGGTTCCCACCCTCTTGTGTCATCTGCAATACAGGCCACACTGTGGAAGCAGAGCAACTTTGTGCTGAGTGAGTTTAAAATACCACACCCGTCAGCACTCCAGTCAGCTATCTGACAGAGTTGTGGCTGTGCTTGATTGATGGTGGTATGAATATACATGATGCAGACCACAGCGTACTTCGCAGTGGGATATTAGCAGAGGGGGGTCTTCCTAATGGATGCAGGGCCATTGTTTGTGTGTATGATGTATATGAGACACCACAGGATTCTGCAAGACATCTCACAGTTGTCACACCCAAAGTTCTGCCAGTCTGCTTCCCACACAATCCACAATTCATTCATGAATCACAAGAAATGGCTTAGTTGGAGAAAGCTACTATTTCTCACATTCATTTCTCTACAAGAACTACAACTATATGCGAACCCCTACTTTGTAAGTTTTTCTTTAAGCATCCCCTCAGCATTTAAAGATCTAGCAATGTGAGCTGGTTAATGGGAGGGCTGAGCTCTTTTGACAGAGAAATAAAAACTTACTAAGAATATACAGTGACCAGGTCTGTCTGGAAAAGACTGATAAGTCCTGCTGAAATGTCCAGTACCAGCTTCTGTTCTGTTTCTACAATAGCTATGGGGATTCCATAATTCATCTTAAGAGTTCAATGTCCAGCCCACCTTTACAACCTCACACTGTCCTATCTGTCAGGAGTTCAGGAGCTGATACAGATGCTGAATAAAGCTGGGCTTTGGCTTGAAAGAGGTACTTTACTTCATTTGAATAAGAAATGCTGGTGCTTCTCTCATTAACCTTTCCTTGTCATCAATATTTAATGACGTGTGTCACTGTGTGCTCTCTTTCATCCAAAGCAAACCCACAGGCCGCCTCTGGGCTCCCTGGCTGGGACTGACTCAATCAGTCAGTGTCATGTGTCTTGATGACCTTTGACCTTTCAAAATCTTTTCGCGGTGTGCTGGACAGAGCTCTCTGTCCTTTGTATATACTTAAAGGTTTTATCCCAGACGAGAGAAGATGATCCCCTAGCATTAACACTACACAGACATTCTGAATTCAATGCCCAGTCCTCCCAGTGCCTTCTGGACATTTCTCCACACCTTCTAACGAGGCAGAGTTTAAGAAGGGAAATGATATATAAAAATAAATACACGAGAATTAAAATTCTAATTGGTATCCTTTTTTTTCTGCTTCGTCCCAGAGACTTTTTTAAACTGATTTACTGAATATTATTTCCACCGTTATCAAAATGCAGGAACATGTAAATATGTTTTAAGAACATAAGAAATGCTGAAAATGAGAGGGGGACATTCAGCTAATCTAAGCCATTTGTTAATTTGTAATTTATTGATCAAAGGATCTCATCCAGCCAGGGTATCAGGTTCAACAAAATGGACGAGTAGCTTGTTCCACACTCCCACCGCCCTATGAGTACAGACGTTTCACCCAGAGGATGCATTATACCAACTCATAATGACTTACAGTATACGGTATTGAAACATCTATTGATCTTGATGTACCCTGTCAGCTGACATCACCACCCTTTCACTGAAATGGTTTTACGTATTTACCACACTAAGATGGTGACGTAAAAGAGTTTGCCGTTTGCTGGATATGTTTCTGGCTGTGGTGGTGGTTATATATGATTATGCATCTTTTTCCTCTCTATCAGTTTTTGGTGCAGCTCAACGTGGGAGATTGGTTCAGGGGAAGGCAGGGATATTGGCTTGGCTTTGTTTTTCACTCCCTGTCTGAGCTGAGTTAAAGCAGAGCGTCATCTGCACGTACAGCAGGCCCCTGGCTGGGGAGTGAATTATTCATGGCTCAGTGCGAGTGCTTTCAGCTTCGAGGAGGACCAAACACGCTGCACCAGTATTCCCACATCGAGCATGACTGGGCTTTAACTCTTCGCTTACAGTAGGACTCTGCTGACTCTACTGATTGCTTTGGTAAGGATGACATGGCATATCTTAAAAATATAATGATCTTGTTAACCACATCTATCTAGTAAGCAAATGAATGGTTCTTGCACTGTGTATATATAATAATTATACATTAAATATAACATACTTTTTCAGTGTCTTTCTCAGTGTGTTTGTGTCCTACACACTCTCACTAGAGAACCAATAATCACACCAGAATCATCACCAATTATGTTAGTCAAGTTAATCAATTAGTTACCATAACAGCCTTCTATGGCAGAGGATCTGCTCCACCAGTTCTATCTGTCTTGGAGCCTTGCCAGTCTCTGGTTTGCAACATTGTGTTCTTGCCAGTCTGCTTCACCCCCACAACGTGCTACTCATCTGCACCTGAATCCAGCCTTCGGCCCCTGACCACTGTTCCTTACCAGTAAGGCCAGCAGCATCCCAGACAGAGGTCCTTTGATTTTGCTACAGATGTTATTATACAGGTCTTAAAGTGGTGGCCGTACAAGGATAAGTAAGTAGCCTCCTACAGAAGGAAACCTGTTTGTGTCAGAGCCTGGACATCACTGCCTTTTCCTTTAGGGTAGCCAGATCGGAATGCTTTGGCTACCCGTGGCCTGGATTAAAAAAGCTCCTCTCTTGCCTGTGCTCAACACACACTTACTATTGTCCAATGGGCTGTAGTGTGGCAGCTCAGTCAGGATAGACTTAACTGTTTGACACAGTCCTCACCTTGTGCCACCTGCAGTTCTCCATGCTGCCAATCAGCTGTCTGTGAGAGGTTCTCTCTTCATCAGCATAATGGAACGTGCAAAAGAACAGCCTCCAGCTCTTCCACTGTAAATGCCTGCATTAACGTCCAGAGTATACTGTGCCTTGCTTGTCTGTGGGGGGAGAGGCTCTGCTTTCCTACAGTGTGTGAAGCTGCTGTGCTTTCACCCAGAGTGTATGTTGTAAAAACAGGATGAAGGGTGAGGAAGGCTTCATACAAGCACTGAGTTGCACATTCATTGTTCAAAATAACAATAATATGTTTGTTTTATACGTGCTTTTAAGAAGACTATTGTCCACTGTGTCAAGCCTGGTCTTAGACAAAGTAAAAAAACGTGAATGAGCAGATCTCAGATTAGTGCTGGACTGTAGAGCTAGACTATTCAGCGCCTTATATGTAAGCAGGAAAACTTTATGATGTATTTTTTATATGTAAACCAGAACACAACTTCACAGGGAGCCAATACAATTTACAAAGCAGCAGTTACAGTACATGCTGATGCGGAGTATTTTCAGCACATACACCACAAATGGTGGACATACTGAAGCCTTCCATAGAACCTATTTACTGCAGTATGTAATATAGTCTAATCCTGATTAAACAAGGTCATATGCCAATATTTCCACATCGGACATACAGAGCAACAGAACCTACACAACCTGGTTATGTTACAAAGAGGGACAAATATACTATTGTGACATTTCTAATATTCACTTCAAATGACAACACAGGGTCTAAAATATCAGCAGGTTTTCTATTTTCAGTCAATATTTAATTTCAGCACAGTCATCAACAACAGCAATGAAATCACCAATCTTGTGTACATATTTTTGGGAACTTATGAGCACAACCTGTCTCATCGCAGCTTAGCTTAAACACTGTGTTGTACCCATACTTAATATCAGACAGACAGCTGAAAAGTGCAGAAAGTGCAGCAGTGGTATCTGAATTAGTCTGCAAGTATATCCGTCATCAGTATAGCAGTGAAACCCAAGATTGTGGTCATAATCTGACCAAGATGCTAATTCATCCAACAGACCCATGTGGAACACCCTGAGTAACACGGAGAGGCACAGGAGCAGATTTAGGACAGCCAAGATCTACTCATTGGCCCACAGTATTCAAGTAGGAGCAAAACCAGTGATCCCTGGATAATCTTCTATGTGTCCCAGCAGGGCGCCATGACTGACAACATTAACAGCTGCATTTATGTCCACAGGGGCAAAGGGTATTAAGTGACCCTGGGTCATAAACTATTAGAAAAATAGGAACTATCACAACTAGGACTGTTTCAGTGATGCATTTTTGTCTAAACCCTGATTTAGGTTCAAACCTCATCAGCAGCATGAATAGACTGCAGTTGACTTGTTGGTTAATGCTTGTTGATATTTTTTTCTTGTTTTCTACTTTGCTTACTTTGATTTCTTGAAGGAGAGTTTAAGAAGTTGAAATAGCAGGAGGAAACGGTAGCAGAGGAACTTGGGCTGACATCACACAGGGTGAGAATTATAATGAAATTAAATATCGTAAAATTAGTAACATAAATTATACTATAAAAAAATAAAATGAAACTGTTTTAGTAACAGGACCTTCACCATTATAAGGAACTACTATCTGTTTGACCTTAAACACCCATCAGAATGAGAATAGTTGCTTTGCTGTGTCACTACAGAATCAGAACTAGTGTAAACAAAAGATTACAGCACTGGGCTCAGGTTTCAGACGTACTGTAGTGTTAGTCCCTGCGGACCTGTCTACATGGACTGGAGGGAATAAGGGATCAATACTCAGTGAAGGAGTTGGCAGACTGTTGTTCATCGCCAGGAATTGGTTTACTATTTCTGACCACAGCTTCAGTGTTGATAGATGCTACTTACACTCGCAAAGTCTGTCTTGCTTTTACTTTTTCTCTATGAAAGACTATAGTTTTTCTTTTTAAAAATGCACATCCTCATCTGACTTTTGAATTGAAACTCTTTACAAATATGAACGTGTGTTTTTTTTTTCGAACGTGTCTCAACAATGTGAGGACGTTGTTCTGTTTCTTGTGTCAAAAAGACCCTATAGCTTCTTTATGTTCACCACCACCAGCAAATTCTACAGGGAGTGTATTTGACCTGTGCACATAGGATAACATAATAGAAATTGTAAAGCTAGAACTTCAGATGGATTAGAATCTAGACAAAGAATACAAAGGAATACTGAGAACAATGTATATATTACAAAGAGTGCACAATACTGGATAAATATGTACATTTGTATAAATGTAATATAATATCTTTAGAATGTTATTACACTCACTTAATAGCTTCAGCAGATAGATCTATTCTGTTTGTAGTTCCAGAAGAAAAATGCTGCCAAGTGAATTTCGTCTTCACTTAAGACCCCTCTTGTTGTTCTATTACTGCAACTCCAGTGCGGAAATATTTAAAGCAGTCTCTGTGAAACACACAGCCGGTGCTTGTAATACCCTATTCAAACTGTGATAGATTTCCATAGAGCTTTGGAGGGATTTTCTGTTCAACAGAGCTTTTGCTAAAAAGCACAAGTTAATACTACTTTCCATTTTCTCTAAATGCTTTGTTTTTTTTTCCATCAGAGGACGTGTGGAAACCATCTACTGCGCCATATCACGTATCACCGGAACGGAAAGACATTTTGCTTTGAGAAAAATGTTAAAAAGATTGTGAGGCCGTGCCCAGTCCTCCTAGACCTTCATATCCGCAGTTCATTTCAATGTAAATATGCTCTACAGTTTCTGTTTTTGTTTGATTATGTAAGCAATCCCTCACGCAGGCTGTAAATAGAATCTAGGCCATTCGTTACCACATTCAGTATTACTCCAGCCGCTCTGCTGCTGGTGCACAACAACACGCTGAAGAGCACAGAAGACACAGCAGGAGCCACTTACTTGCTGGGGGCTCATTCTGGTTCTCCTCATCCGAGTCAGCGAAGACCTCGGCCAGCTCCTGGTCCGACATGTCCGTGAGCTCTGTGAGGTCCAGGAGGTCAAAGTGCACCTCCAGCGATGAGACGCTGCTCAGGGGCTCTGTGCAAGACAGGGACGCCAACAGGTCAATGCCTCTGTTTTCGACTGTGATGGCCACAACTTTTTTTTCCCGGTTCCGGTCTGAGAGTACCCTGAGAGGGACCTTGCCGCTTCTCTACGGGTATATTGCTGTGTTTTTTTTTATATCTTAAATCGGTTATATATATATATGTCTACTTATCTCTTCTTATTTAATCTTTGGTTTATTTGACTCGTCGGTGTCCGTCTGCTAGCTGCATCTGTTTTGATTCTCACTTTCTGCAAGCTGCTGAAGACTTTCCAATGCATTCTGCCTGCTCACCTGCTCACCTGCTCACCTGCTCACCGACCTCGACACTACGCCTGTGTGAATTTTGTGTGTGAATTGAACTGGTGAATTTTCCCACCTATGTCTGTGGTCACACACTTGATCTTGTTTGTGCTTCTGGCAAGCATGTCTCTGAAATTTGCAATAATCATGACATTTATTTCCCCAGCTCTTTGCTGTATGGGCTCTCACACTCTCTTCTCAACAAGCTGCAGTATGTCCAGAACGCTGCAGCTGGACCAGTTACTCACACCAGACCTCGGCAGCACATCACTGCTACACTCAGGTCTCCACACTGGTTGCAATGTACATATGTACAAGTCACATATTCAATATAAGATCTTGTTACTGACTTTCAAGGCTCTAAACAATCTGGCTCCATCACACATCTGTTTTCACCCCTCCCCATAGGCTGTGGTCAGGTGAGGCCGGTCCTCTGCTCACTGTCCTTTAGATCTACAGTACTTATTTATCTTTATATAGCCTCTGTAAGGTAGTGAGATGTGGCTTTGTGAGAAAACCACCATCATGGCTCAAAATGCAGGCCCAGTGGTGTGGCCTTGAGCCAAGATGGCCACCTGTTAATTGGGAAAACCAGCAGAATGAAGCAGCGCTGGTCCGAATGAGTACATGGCACTCAGAGGGAATGAGATTCCACCTGAGGAAAGGGGGCTGTCAGATAGGCTCTGTGTGGAATTATCCACTCCTGGAGGCTAATCAAGAGGCTTAGAAGAGCAGCTGGGAGGAGAGAGGCTTCAGTCTGCGCCTGGGCTCCAGCCTGGAAGGAGGGGGAGTGTGTGAAGATGACTGGGCTGACACAAAGGCCGATAGGACTAAGCGAGCGAGTGAGGGAGGCTTGAGAAAATATACTGATGGAAAAAATAAAGGCAACAATTTCTGGAATGAGAATACTATAGTTATAGCTTACGTACTTTCACAAAAAGTTGTCAATTTTTTATTTTAAGCCCTCTGACTGCTGGCCTTAGAGCAAGGTGACCTGTCAGAGGCCCTCTGCTCACGCCTCCTAGACGCCACCACCGACTCGCTTGGGCCAGACAGAGGCTGCGATGGACTCGCCAGCATTGGCATCAGGTCCTCTTCAATCCGCAGGGCATTGTTGAAATACCACAAAGTGCCACCAGTCTGAGTGATGTAGAGGGCATACTGAATGAACAGAACAGTCTTGCTCATAATATTGGTATTGTACTGGAAGGTAGCGCTATTATTGTTTTTCAAAATCCCTCTAACAAAGTGTAGAAGTGTAGAGCTGCTCAGGTGATGCCAGGGGGGTTTAAACCTTCACACTGTGTGGCAATCTTCTAGCTGGCAGAGAAGGTCTCTGCAGGTTTATTCCTGTGCTAAGACAGGGATCACATTAATCTCATTACATGGCATCACCTGTGTGCAGTCAGGTCAGGAAAGACAACTTGATAGGTTAATCTAATATTTCATGTACTTTTGTCCTACTGTTATTTTTGTGGGAGAAAAAACAAACATTTGGGGAACTCTTTTGTGCCATGAAATTCTGCAGTATAATATAGGACAAGCAGCAACTCCATTCAGGTATGTCCACGAATAATAAGGAGGATAGTCCTGATATCTGCAACACTGTACAGGTTACATACAGTATAAGAGGAGGCTGTACAGCCCATCTTGCTTGTTCTAGTTCTATGACCCAGGAATCTCATTAAGCTTCATCTTTAAAGACCCCACATAGCCAACTTCTACACATGACTAGGAAGCTGGTTTCTGTACTAAATCTTACAGACATTAATTTCCATTTGAGCCCCAGGGAAATGTATAAAAACAGGCTTTGTTGAAAAAGTTTCCCGATTCATTTAGTCAAATTATCGCCACATAATCTTCCCTGTTTAAACCAAAAACAGTTCAGCTCCCTTTATCTGCCTGATAGTCCCTTCAGACCACATCCTGTTACAGGGAATCTCACAGTTATTGAAAACAAGGTTAGTTTCCAAGCTGGCCTTTCAGAGTAACAACTGGTAACAAAAACAGCACCTGTGAAAGACTGAGTCTGAGTACTGGGTGACCAGTGCCAATGGCTACAGCTTTAAGAGCAGGAGGGTGGCTCTCTCGGCCCAGTGGTCAGGTGGAACTCAGCTGCACTCTGGAGAGAGTGGTTTGCACACAGCTCTTTCTGAGGTTACACAGCAGCTCGGTGGCTCCCTGTACAAGTGCAATAGCAGGGTGGTTCAGTCTAGTCTGATCAAGACACATTAGGATAAACAACTGCAAAACGGCAAGAACTGTCTGTGTGCTATGCTGAAGTCTAACTCTTAATACATAAACTGACCACAGATTTAGACATAAATATACTAGACTTACATGTTTTCTGTGCTGGCTGCGACACAGTGTACCAATGATTTATTTACAAGCAATAAAGCAAAATATGAGTTAGAGCCCCCTTATGTGTATTCCAGAACACAATGATCACCCCAGGGAACAGACACTGGTCTGGTTCAGCCCAGACTAATGAGCTCTAAGCTCAGAGAGCTAAGTGTTACTGCAAGGAAGGTCAGACAAGATTCCTGCTGATTCAGGGAGGCGACAGAGTACGTGACTGAACACTTCCCATGATGCTCCTGTTCTGACAATGTCAGCTGTGTGGTGTGACATGCTCCTCAGGGCTTACTCCCCTGAGCTGGCTCGTCAGCAGGATTCGCCCGTGCGGACTATGGGAGCATGGCAATGTCCTGGCTGGGCGTTGGGGTTTAACAGCACTCGTCCGATCATGGAATTTTATTTAAAAGGTGTGAGGTACAACTGCTTCTTTTTTAAACAACAAAACATAAAGTCACATGTATTCAGTTTCAAACACATTTATGTTTGTGCAGAGAGTTTTTCCCCAATGAAAAGTGCTACACAACTTAAAGAAGATTACAGATCTTATCTCTCGGTTAATTCCAGTTTCATGCAGACATCATAAGAGGTTATGTATTACATCTATTTACAGTATATATTAAATAGATATATAGATACAAGTATTGATATATTCCTTTCTTATTTCTGTATTTTGCACCCAGGCATTAACTGTGGTGAATGCATTGTTATTGGTGTGATGAAATGGACAAAATGCTTGATTGACTGTTGTTGGTTGTAGAAAACTCTGAGAGTCGGTGGAATCTCATGGAGACCCCTTGTGCATCCTGAGAAACGGCTTTCTCTTGTGAAAACCATGCAAAATGGATCAGCAAAACATTGAACGGTTGCATGTGAAAAGAAAGAATAAAGCAGATCATTTAGCACACTGACAGACACTGTGCATGATTCTGCCTCTCCTGGCTAGCACCTCATTGTCAGGCATGGCATGGGTGTACACTGCAGCCTCTGTACTGAAGCATTCCTTGAGTCACTACTGGGGGATCTCTGAGTCCCAGCGGAGGGAATTGAGGCTTTATTATGGAAAGCAATTTGTTACAGGATCCAAAGGGGTTTTCTTCTGCAAACCACTTGATTAATCTGTAGCACGGATCTTGGTGAAAAAGAACAAGCAGGGAAAATCAATATTGAAGGACATTGCTCTTCATGAATAACAGCTTTTCTATTCCTGTTATGTGTGACTAATGAATTATTATTCTTTATTATTAGAGAGTCAAAGTAATATCACGACACAATGTGTGCAGTGCCTTGCTAAAGTATTCAGATCCTTACTATGTTAATATATTCTTCAAGACCTGAATGGTCAAACTGAAGACTCTAAGGGTAAATTACAGTAAATGTAAAACTAAAGAAAAAACAGAAATAAGTATTCAGACCCATGAACACAATATTTCGTTGCAGAAGTTACAATAGAAAGTCTTTCTGGGTAAGTCACTCCCAGCTTTACACCCAGGCTGGTGCAATTTGTGACATTTCCTGGCGGATTTACTCAAACTCTCTCAAGGTACTTGGGGAAGACTTATGGACATCAGTTTTCAAGTCTTTCCACAGTGTCTCAACAGGACTTTGACTGGGTCCCTCAGGGACATTCTCTTCCCTATCCTAAAGCCACTGCAGGGTAGCTTTGGATTTTTGATTATTGTCCTGATGAAAGGTGAATTTTCACCTGAGTTTGAAATCTTCAGGAGACTGAAACAGGTTTTTTTCACCTCCTCCCCACCACTAATTCACTGAAAAATCAGTAGGGGTGAGGCAAGGTCGCTCAAGTTGCTTCCAAACGCCTTTTGCTTTCAGAATATGAGAGTCCTTCTGCCTTTACTGAAATTCCTAGAGGCCCCATACACTTACAGAGCTAGAATTACTTTAATCTAAAACTCATTAGTCTTGAATAAACATTTTACAGTGGCATTGAAGTCAAGGAAACTGAATAAATTCAAAACCAAAGGGAGCTGTCTGAATTGTAAATATGAATCCAATTCTCTGAGAATGACTCATCTCCCCTGCTCCCCTGTGGAAGTGCTGACCACTCTAAAATCACACACGAAAAACAGAAAACAAAGGACCTTCGCATGACTTTCCTTCTCTTCTTTTGGCACCTACTGAACCCTTCCATAAATCTGCCCCTTCTGGCACAGTCTATGATGAGGGCTGATAAACTCCTCCTTCCTCCACCCCCTGTGGTGAACTACCGTGCTGGAGAGATAAGATAAGATCACTTTATTGGCGATATACAATTTTTTTGTATTAGGAACTTGGCTTTTCGCAGGCCCCAACTTGCTCTCCATGAGACACACAGACAGAGAGAGAAGTTTGGGGTCAGAGCGCAGGGTCAGCCATTTATACAGCATCCCTGGAGCTGTTGGGGTTAAGGGCCTTGATCAGGGGCCCATCAGAGTAGGATTCCTCTGCCAGCCACAGGATTCAAACCGGCAACCTTCCAGCTACAGGCGCAGATCCTGGGCCACAGAGCCAACACCGCCTGCCCCCTTTCTTTTTGGTGTGTATCAATCACAGAGGCTTTTTCTTCTCACTACAGACTGTGAGTTGTGATTTTCCATAAATATAACCATCTACCCATCCAACCGTTTTCCAACTACACATCAGAGCCTATCCCAGCAAGCAACAGGCGCACGACAGGGTACACCCTGGACGGGACACCAGTCCATGACAGGGCAGACACAGTCTTGCACACATTTGTTTTATGACAAGATCCTCATTAGTGCTAAATATAGGACCCTCTTGTATGGAAAATGAGAAAAACACAATGACAATAGTTTTTTTACCAAACTGGAACAAAAACTTCAAGTTCCAAAATGCAAGTGGACGCAGCTACAGTACATATAATTGGCCTTGTGCATGCCCACGGGGTGATAGTATTAGTGCAGTAGTACTGAGGAAAAACTACACAGTTCTATTTTGGAGGTGTAGTCAATAGAATATAGCAGACCAACAATTACTGTTCTAACCTCCTTTACATTGTAACTGGGACACATAAGGCATCACACTGAGTCAGTATGCACTTGTTGAACATAGTATTGAAGTTCCACGCTTTACAAATAAACCTTCTTCTAGAGTATTTCCTTAGAGTTCAAATGTAGCTCGATATTCACAAGGGTTCAGTGCAGAGAACCGTCCTGAATAGTCAAATTCGCCCCATACCGTCACATGAAGTACTACAGTATATAGTCTGTATGCTTAAAAAGACATAAGTAACCCTCCATTACACAGTATGATAATTAAAGTACTAATGCGTTGTCTTTAAGTTGATTTAAATTAACATTGATCAACTAAAACAAATAAAAGCACTTATAGTAATCAGCTAAAATAAACAAAGGAGCCCGCAAAGGAGTGTTTTCTGGCTTCTGTTCCTGAGTTCTTGTTGTCTAAACTGGTCAGTTACCTAACTAAGAGTTAAGTTAACCTGCTGTGCAGATCTCTCGTCTCTGGCCTCTTGATGTTCCCTATAAAACCTGCAGGACCACAGTTATCAGTACTGGACATTTAGACTGCTGTTCCAGACAGGCTTCACTATGTGTATAACCAGGAAATTTGCGATAGGAGAAATTACTTTCACATCACGATATTTTATAATTGCATTTTCAAAGAGTTGTATATATTATTAAACATTATAATATCATTAAATATTATTAAGTCTTATTTAAAGAGCTGTTGGAGTGACAAAACAGCTGACTAGTAGGTTAACTGTCTAATATAATGGGTAGCTGTCTAGTCCGAAGGGAGAATTAAAAAGTCATCAGAGGATACTCCACAGGGGAGAAATCGAGCAGGTCGGTGCTTTTGATGGGTAGAGAAAGTGGGAATGGGGTGCGTGGCGAGATGAATCCACCACTTATCTTCACAATGATAACAGTGCCGCGCTTGTATCAGTCACACTCAAAACTGAAGCCCTCACAGGTCCACTGACTGCGACTGGCAGCACATTCCTGACTTCTCTGTGGTGCCACTGTCTGCCAGGTGTGGCTACACTGCAGCTCCCGCCTCCGACCCGCCTTGGGAACACAGTCACCTTCAGGGCCTCAGTCTCGATTGTGCATTGAGGCCCCTGGTATAACTGGTCCCTTGTGTGGTGCTTGTGGCTACTCGCTCCCTGAAACTGGGAAGAGGCTCAATCACAACACTGTCCATGCTGGAGAGCCCGAACAAACAGAGCTTCTTCTTCGGAAGTGAAACATAATGCTGCTTTTCAGTTCACCCCACATGTCCCCGACAAACAAAAGACAATGGCCGCCACACAGTGTCCTCACAGCTGAGGTTTCGTGGCTCTTTTTTTGCAGAATACTTTCCAAGGATGTGTCTGCAGCACCGGGCTGCTGAGATGTGGTGTGTTCAGGGCACAAGGTTGTGGAGAGATACATTCATCTTGCCAGATTTGAGCTGATACGGCTTTTAAATAGCGCACTAGTGAAGTACATTCCCACTGGGCTCACGATCAGCCTGGTCACGAGCAACTGCACAAGTGTTCGGAAAAAGCAAATGATTGTGTTGCAAAGTTAAGAGAGAGGGCGATCTAAGAACAGAAGAAAGGTTACAAATAAAAGAAAGCCGTTCAGCCCATCCGGCCCTCCTGGTTGTTAGGATCTAATCGATCCAAGCATGTCATCATGTCATCCAGCGGGTTCTTGGAAGAAGGCAGAGTACCGGCTTCAGCGGCATGGCTGAGTATTTTCTTTCATGCTCCCCAAACCCTCCTCATACGGAAGTGCCTCCTTCTATAACTACATTGTTAAAACAAGTAATGGAAATGTTAGACTAAAATGAATTTGTTTTAGTCTAACATTTCACATACCTTGAATGGTAGATGATGTAAATGATGTCGATCCTAATGATTTTAACATTGTTTGCACTGGAAAATGGTTCTGCTCCATGGCCTCATGATCTAACAAGCCACCAGTCTTCCAAGAGGAATGAATGGGCGTCTGGCTCAGTCCAGGATAATCGAGCCCTTGAGCATTACTCCACTGAGAAGATGTTGTGTGGTGTGGCTTTTAAATACTCCTACATGGCATTCTGGATAATGCTGCTGAGTCTTGTATCTCATAACACGACATCACAACACTTCAGTCTCTTCCCGTCCCCCCGAGAGCCCAGACTTACGCCGCCTCTCAGCGACCTGCAGCAGCCCGGAGTTGGGAATGGGGATCCCCCCCTCCTCTCCCGGAGGGCTGTGGCTCTGCTCTGCGGCCAGGTCGCCCGAACCAGAGGGCTTCAGCAGGCTCTGCGCATCTTTGATGGGTTCTGCCAACAAAAAGCAAAACAGCGTGTGATTCCCGGGGATCAAAACACACCGGCAGGCGGATCTCCTCCCCGGACAGGGCGAGAGCTGGCAGGGTGGCGGAGCTGCAGCAGGGCAGGGCCGGGGGTCCTGGACTCGCATCTGCAGCCAGGCCCCTGGGCAAGGTGCTTCCCTGAACCGCGAGATTCCCAGCTGTAGGAATGGGTACAGATGTAAGTCACTCTGCATGAACACGTGAGCCAAATAAACCAGAAACTGGCTTGTAGCACTCATGCCGACAGCAGAGACTGATGCTGGGAACACAGCAGTGCTGCAGACGATCTGGAGAACCCCGTTCAGATTTAGGTGGCTAGACGGGAAAACTTAGGTGGCTGTGCTGAGCAGGAAACTTTCAGAAATGTCTGCGTCTTCCCGCAGTCCCAGAGATTTGATCACAAACATCACAGCAAATTGATTAGCATGTTGTTGTGCTGGATCTGAGGAAGGTAATTTTTAGTTTTGCTTTCTTGTGAAATTAAATTTTAATTTTTTACTCCAGACTTATTGCCCAAATAATTGACTTTTCTTGTTATCATTTAACAACATGGAAAACCTATTAATTGTTAATTCATGGCTTATGCATTATTAACAAAGGTAGCTTCAATATAAGCTGAGTATTTTCAGCTCTTCTAGAATTAAGAGGTATAAAAGCAAATATGGTGCTATGCTGTCCTAAAGCAGAAATTGCAAAGCAATATTTAGATACTGTATTGATATGTTTATGAATCTACAATATGTGTTTGCCTCTGTACCCTTGTAAATTCCAGCCATGACATTTATCTGTCTATGTAGAATGGACTATGTAAATATTGTATATAAACTACTGATAATTACAAATCTTCCAAAGGTATTGAAAGATACTGACTCTAGTGCATTAATCTTCACAGGCGGACAATCAGCATGAAATAATAAAGCTCTTTAGACACCAGCTATCCAGCTGCGTTTATCTAAATGAACTATGTCCTTTTTTGTAGTTGACCTTTTCTTTTTATTCTGGAAACAATTAAAAAATGAACATCTCCCCCCCCCCCCAAACTCCTCCTCCCCACAGGAACACACCTCTTCCAGCCTTCCTGAAATCCCCCCTCTATCCCAGAGCTCCTGTCCAGGGGCATGAATTATGTCCTTTTAATTTAATTATGTTAATAAAAACTTGAATAGATTCACTTTATATTTTCTAGAGTAATAGGTTGCAGGACTGTTAACAAGGTAATAGCGTGTTGGAAATTCTTAACATGAGACATTAAAATGTCTGACCTTTTTGAAAAAAACATCCAATTTAAACCTGAACTGTTATCTTTCATCTAACAGAGTTTCAAATTCACCAGACTTCTGTTTTAGCGACTCTTTTTTAGTGAAGATAATGTTTTTAAATTGTGAAATTTAAGTCCAAAGACATATTGATAGGTTCATTGGCTTCTGGGTGTGTTTATGTCAGTGTGTGCCCTGCGGCAGACTGAGGTCCCATCCAGGGGGTACCCTGCCTTGTGCCCGTTGCTTGCTGGGATAGACTCCAGCCCCCCCAACCTTGAATTGGATACAGTGGTTAGAAAATGGATGGATGTGTCTCTGAGGTGGACAGTGCTGTCCTCTGACTATGACCTGAAGCAAATCTCACACCTTCTTACGAACTCATGGGGCAGCGGGTTCCAGAGGCTCACAAGGAGATGATGGTTTATACAGTGATGTTACTATAAAGCAGCCTTACATCAGAGGTGTCTTGTCAGACTCGTTAATACTGCGGTAGAGAGACTGGCATATTATGAGCCCCAGAAAAACTATACTCTCCTGAGCGTTTCGTAAAAGATAAACAAATAGATAAATGATGTTCACTTCTTTTAAGCTGTGAAAAACAGTAACCCCCACAATTTTGTTTGGATGATTTAGAGCCTTAAAATGAATTATTGTTGCTCAATAAATATGGGACGCATGTACAGTATGCTTAGAATGCTTTTCAACTGATCTGTATCATCCCGGATTAAATAACTGTTCTTAAAGAAAATGAAGAGTAAAGGATTTTTTTATTGAAAAAAAAGTTGTCATAACACTAAAAAATAATGATCGTACTGCCTTGGTACTGAATGAATTACTATCCGAGTCAGCAGAGTCTGTGGGAAAAAAATGTTTGGGCTAAGGTATCATAGTGAAGTATCATAGTAATAAGCAATATTCCAAGAGTGTTTTTCATTGTCTGTCATTATTTTTTCTATTTATCCTGTTCGAAGGTACGGGAGACTGAAATTGAAATGGGAAATATTCTGTGCCCTGTCCTTCCAGTTTTTTACCTGGCAAAATGTCATGGTGTTGTTTAAAACAGGAACCCCATTTTCTCTGAAAGTAAGCTGCAGGAAAACTGTTTGCTTGCTAATAAACAGAACAGAACGCATGCAGATTGTAACAGAGAATTACAAGGTTTACGAGTCTGTTTGTTGGCTTGGTAAATACTAATGGATACAAATATTCTCATCCTTAACTTTTACAAGGCCTGTAAATCTTCCAAAAGTGAAATTGGTCATTATCTCCTGAACGTTCCTGGAAATGATGTCACAGGTGAACTCCAGTCCTGCTAATTTGTTTGACCACTTCGGCCAGAGCATCTGTCACATACTGAGAGCACTTCCTGTTGTCACATTGACATGCGACTGCGAATCTCACAGCTGGGTTTGTGAGTATACAGTGTTTAACATTTATCCATTATTTTCTGTAATAATAATAGGTAAGTCAGGAAATACAGAGAAAATCCACCCAAACCTCTTACATCTGGGAAAAACCTGTAGGTGTTGGAAAGCTTTGGGATTTTTAACTCTCTCCTTGCAGGCCCACACACTGCTTCCTGTGGCGATGGTAGGTGATGTCAGCTGTCTCCCTGAGCCGCTCCTGTGTTGTCACCGGGGCGGACGCCCTGGTGGGCTCAGACTGACATTGCCTCGGGGTGTGCGATCCAGACTGCGAAGGGGTGGGGTTCAACTGCACACGGGCACGGTGATGCCCTGCTCCTCAGAGGGCTGCTCTCTGAGCTCACAACTTCAGACACGACAGCCAGTCCGAGCGTTGCTGCAGAAAGGGTCTGTCCTGCGTTGTTCTGTTATAAAAGTACCCATAACCCTCAGAATTGACTGCTGACGTCAGGCTGGTGACTATGGTGAATAATGAAACAGTCTTCCTCACCCATGAGGTACACGTTGTGGATAACCCACAAAGTTTGCCTCTTGCCTTTTGAGCTCTCCCTGCAACAGTCAGCTGAAACACATGACAGATTTTATCCTAACTATCGTAACCAGGAAAATTAGAGTAAACATCTGGAGAACTGTCAGTGGTAAATCTGGACAGAGGGAAGACTGCCACACACAGAGATAACAAGATTCATCCATAAACGTGCTGCCATATTCTGTTATAATTTCCTGCAGCGTGTCACCCAGGGCAAGCTCTCAGACTGGAGACAGACAGCATTTTGCATTGCTAGTGAACATACTATTCTGAGGACAGAGGTACATTTCATAGGACATTTGTCACCCACGAAAAAAAGTCTTGTTATTTTTTCAACATGAATGCAATTTAAAAAATTGAAATAAACCCTTAAACTGTGAGCCCCGTTAAACAGTACACAGTATGTTGTATGTCAGTATTTGCAGTGTAGTTCTGTCACATTAGGAACAGCAGAAGCTAGAGCCAGAGATCCATGATTTAGGAAGAGCTTAATTTAATATAAACTTTTTTTTCCCGTTAAAATTGAGTCATTTATGTTCAATGTTTGTGTATTCTTCTTGTTTGCTGATGGTTAGGTTCTCTGGGAAATTCGCTAGGAAATTTAGTGACACAACATTTAGTCACTAGAGTAGGTAACTAATGGAATATGATGTTGTCTTGTCCTGAAAGGAAACTGCAGTGCTTCTTGGTCAGAAAGGGCATGAATAATAATGCCCTGCGGTTCTTCATCGGAGTTGTCCTCACCTTTTGCTGCATCGGCTGGTCAGAGACCTCATCTCTGCGATCTCTCGAGCTGAACCGTCTCCGGTCCGACTCGGAAACAACACCAGTGCTTCTGCTGCAACAGGCGGCGGAGCGGACACTACACTCCGGCAGAAAATGATTTGTGGACGCGTTTCGGAGGAAAGTGATGTCGCTCACGGCTGTGGGAGTTGTAAACCGTGCCAGACCGAGGGCGAATTTGCGAGTCCAGGATAAGTGAAAGCAAGCGCAGTCTAAACACGCTGGGCTCTGGTTTCACTGTAACGAGAGTCCCTCACCACACAACACAATAGCTTTTTAACCCTTAGAACAGGCACAGCGAGTCAGGCCACACTTTAATTATGGATTTTATTACAGTGTTAACTAATTATTGTAAGTTACAGGTGTAATGTTACTCGTCTTCTTAAAACATTTTGTCCAATACTTTTGCACTGGCACAACGCTTTTGACGCAGTTCACGTTACGGTAAACCACGGGAGATCAAAAATTGCATAGCCTCTCATTTAAATTATATGTTTTTTTTTTCTTTACTTTGGAAGGACATTGGTTTGTTGTGAGCTCTAGCTGGAAGACACATAGGTGGGACAGCTCAGACTCGGGATCTAAATAAACGCTTCTCATTTCTAAATACCCGAAACATTAAGCTCGGTAACAAATCCTAACAACAAGGCCACCGTACTGATAACGATATTGATATTTGTAACCGTTTGATAGGACGATAAAGCTCTCTTAAGTATCTTGAATACTGCTATATACATAAATAATGGTGCGAGTATAAAGTAATTTGTTTTCCATCCATTTTACATACTGTACTTTACTACTGAATGTATAAGACTGTTTATGCTGCAGCTCATGGTTTCCTTTCTTCCCTGACAGAATCTGTCACAATATTAAGAGAAGATCTTTTGGGACTAGGAGTTGTAAGCAGCATGGCAATTGTATTATAATTCTCTAACATTCACAAAATTCTTTGAAGGGGCACTATTAAGTAATTCGTATTAATGTGGAAATCCTTGAGACCTTTTTTCTACTGTACTCTTGTGATCTCTACAGTTAACCTATAAAGATAAAGATCTAATGATGGGACTATTTCCTAGTTTGGAAACGATTGCACATTGTGTCCCTGAGCTGACAACTGAATGTAGCAAACGCTTTGTTTTGGGCGTTTTTGTTTTCTTCTCCGCTGGTCATTTTCATGGTGATCCTGACTTTTGACTCTTCCAGTATTCATATTATTCAAAACGCTCGGGGTCTGCAGCAAGACCTGTGCTTGGAGGGGGTGGGGAGGGGAGGGTGGTTTCTCCCTGGTTCCTCAAGTCTTTGTGTTGACCTGCCTGTCAGAGGAAACAATTTTGTGTGTCAGGCCAGTACTAGGCTTTGTGGTCCCGTCTGTCTGAGCACATGGGACCTCTGCACCATGACACTGGGCTCCTGGTGAGTCGCCCATTTAAATGAGCTGATCCTGAGATCCCGGACCAGCTTACTGGCTCTGCAGTTTTTACAGTGACAGAGATGAATATTCCAGCCAAAACAAAATCAGCACAGAAGAGTCCTAGGCAAAGTAAGACATGTCTTATCTTTCTCTGGCTCTGCAAGACTGTCTTTAGGAGGTAGGCTGTTCTACACAGTGTAATTTTATCTTGTGTTTTTCAGTGTAGTGATGTAGCTTTCAAAGCACGCTAAGACCTCTGCAGAAACACACAAGTGAGCTGCAACATTTACCATTAAAACAGACGGTTTATGCTCTTTTCTTCACAATTGTACACGTGAAGTCCCCGAGAGCCCTACAAGCAGAGCCAGACAGCAGCAGCAAGTTTCTTGTACTGAAAGGAAATGTTTCGGATCGCTCTAAGATCTACCGGTCTGTGAAACTGAAACGCGGTGCACCCACCTGGGGTACCTGCCCCTCCTTGTGCGTCCATCCAGGCAGGTGGTGTGTCCGGGGCTGTCTAAGGCAGCAGCATGAGACAGGAAGAGAGAAAGGGAAGGAGACAGCAAGGCAGAGCGAGGCGCTGGCTGCACTCTCCACGGCATCAGACACCAGCAACACCCTCACCGATCCTCACAGCCGGAGTATCCCCGCAAAATCACCACCCTGGGCATTGCACCAGCACAAACATGTTGCCATGCAAGCAAAGATCACTTTGCAAATTGCAGAGCCACGCTACACTGTAAGCATTGCATTGTAAATGAGCTCGGGAAGGGAGACTGCAGAAAAAAAGCAGAGTGAGAGAGAGAGAGAGCAGAATGCAAGACACACTGGCGATCATCCAGATCTGGATGGGGGGGGTGGTGGGAGGGGTGTGGAGTGCGAGCTCAGGGTTTTGTGTGTGTAGCACTGAGCCACACCTAAATCAAAGAGGAAATCATCCATCCACTTCCTGTTAGCGTGGAGTAAAGCTATTCATGTAGGGCTGGAAGACACCATCCAATTTGCACAAAACCTAACGCCCGATTCTTCCCATCAAGGTTTAAATCTCAAGTGCTTGCTGTTGAAATGAAAGTTTGATTTTTTCAGATGTTCCCATTTGAAGGTAGCCTGAGGAAAATTCCCCATTATGCATTCAGCTCTTCTGACATGGTTTTTCTCTGCTATAAAATTTTCATAAGAGTTAAACACATGCATGAGATTAGGGCTCTCTGAGTACCCTTTGTTTTTTGAGTGATTCTTCAATAGACAAGTAGTGTTCATTCTTTATTCTTAAAGGCATTCTGTGGAGTTAATATCTTAAATATTGTACACACTGGAAAACAGCAAAAAACTAGCATTGGAACAGAACTGGAATAACACATTCATAATTTTAAATAATTGAAAAGCTTCAGAAATGAAGTCACTGCAACTCAGTCCAATTAAATGCTAGAAAACTTATTCTTTGCTCAACAATACACATACAGCTCAACACGAAGGTGCAGATGTTTGCTAGTAGTATGAACAACTGGTGATACAGTGATATGATGTGGTGTTCTTTTAAAGGGTTAGGGTTAGGGGTTAGGGTGTGTATTTTGTGTTCTTTTAAAGAGGTGATTATGTGCCTGGGTGGGTGTCACTTGTAGGCAATGAAGAAATGAAGGGCATAGAGCAGTGACACCCTGTAAACTAATCCCACAGGACTCCATTTTCTAACCACCGGCGCAAGGCGGAATATGCCTTGGACAGGAGATGCCAATCCATCACAGATCTCGCTGAATTATTGAATCTACCAGGAAGTGAAATGTACAGTATTTGACTGGATAGTGGACTGGGATTGGACATATCACAGCATGCGATTGCATCACATCCTAAAAATAATTTGTCACCCTCCAGATTGTAATCTCCTGCTCTATGAAAGGAAAAGGTTAGGGGTCCTGTACTGAATAGCTGGTACGATTTGGAGGAGATACTGTGCTCTCATTGTTAAGTGGAGACCTGAAAGAAACACAGCCACCACAGAACATGTACTGTATGTTTACATGGAGTGAAACAGCATTTGTACTGCGAAAATCAGGGGGTTTGGCTTTGCAGTTTATGATGACCTTTTCTTCTTTCAATTTTTTTCCTACATTTTCTTAACAAAAATAATACCCTAAAAGGAAATAAAATGAAAAGTTTCTAAAATTGAACACCTGTGTAAATTGTTTAATACGGGATGTTTTAGAAATATATTTCACATTTAACTGACATTTTGAGGCACACGTATGCTTGGAAAAGCAGAATTATAGTATTATTCTTATATAAATTAACTTCATTTTATGCAATAAATCTGTAAAGCTCACCATCTGGGGCCCACATAGTCATAAAGGTGTAACGAATGTGCTCTTAATTCACTGGGAAAGTGAATAAAATACAAATGAAATCTGAAATGCATGCTGGCTATTTGTCACTCATATTATCATATTATTCGTAGAAAAAAATAATGCTAATACGGATTTTCTTTTAAATTCTATGTGAAAATAGGCTAAAGAGTCTGGACATATGTTAATTTTGGGAAATGTGAATGGAGGAGCTGGAAATATCTGACATTTCTCTTATCAAAATTAGATTTTCATTGGATTTCTGGGGCACTGTCAGGACAGCTACATCACTGAAATCACTGGGATTACATTTTATTATCTTGCTGTGGTTTTAGTTAATAACTCGATGTCTAAGGCAGCCCAATCTCCTCTTTTATCTGTTTACTCTTTAAAATGAAAGCCAAGGTTGATGTTTATTTTCGTACAGGATTATGGATAAAGAAATATGTTTATGTATTTATCTTTAATAAATACATGAAATATTTTCACATTGGTTGACTGTAGTACACGTACTGTAGATATCTAAAAGTTTTTCATCTTCATTTGAACGTACTTGTCTTTTGAAGCCATCTTTATTTACAAGCTGTCGTTAACATTGTCTTTCCTACTATTGTCCTAATTTTCTCAGCCTGCTGATTATAGAAGTACTTGTGTATGCACCATTTCTTTCACAGATTAATGCCTTTGATGGGTAGCCAGAGGAAAAATTAGGATTTAATCAAGACACATTTCCTTCCATCTTTCAGTTTAGGGCTGAGGGGAGCCGAACCCTATCCCAGCAATCCGTCACAGTGCACACTAACACTCACACCATGGCCAATTAGCCTACAAGGGTGTCTTTGGACTGGGGGAAGAAACCAGGGCACCTGGAGGAAACGCATGCGAACACAGGGAGAAGAGACAAGCTCCATGCATATATACCCCAGGAGCTGAACTCAGGGACCCAGTGCTGCAAGGCAGCACAGTCTAACCACTGTGTCACTGCACCATCCCATCAAGTAAAAATGGAAAAAGATTACTTCAGATACTTTTTATTTTTTCCATTCATAGGGACCTGCTGTTTTGTCAGACCACACTTGGTACCTAAGCGGCAATATCAAATTAATGGAGACTTCTGTCTTCTCACTTCATCATCTATTACTGAAACAGACCTATTTGAACGAATCATGTCTTCTAAACGTGTCTTATCTGTTGTCTGCCGCAGACAACATTCCTCATTTTTGTGCCAGCATAAAAATGCTGAATTTATTTGTGTTGATTCGCATAACAAACCTTTAACGAGGTACAGTGGAGACGACTACAGTACTTGTCCTTCAGTCACATGTACTGTATGCAAATCGATTTCATCTCCATATTTTGTATATTGGCGTTGCCAGGAAACGCGCGTTTCCTGCTCCGTGTCCTTCTCGCGAGAGCACGGCCGTTGCCAGGAGACCGCTGTGTTGCTCTGTAGGCCGATGCTGCAAATCGCGACAGCAGCTCTGCTAGAACAGCAAAATATTTTCACCCCTGCCTTTTACTCAGAATCAATAGTTTCTTGAAAATGGTAAGTCTGCATGTATTTTACTTTTATTTTTACTTACGGTAGCTTTAGAAACATGATTTATGAGGATCACCTTGGGGTTGACGATCGTCGCTGTGAAAACTAAGCGTCCAAGTGAATTGATTTTATGCGTAATAATGCAGTCGAATAGTTTAAGATGCTTTTGTTAAACAACTCAGCTTTTGGACAGACGTGACGTCGTGCTACTGTGTGTGTATTGTGTGTTGTGTGTGTGTGCTGTGTGTATTTTGTGTTTTGCTCTGTGGGGTGTGTGTTGTGTGTTGTGTTGTGTGGTGTGTGTGTGGTGTTGTGGACGCTGCTGCTGTTGATCTTGAGTTCTGAGGACTCAGTAGTAAATCTGATAGGAGGTTTTAAAAGGCTGAGGCGCGTCTCTTATTCCCAGCCTCCCAAGAAGAAGAAAGGAGGGAAGAAGGGGTCGGCCAAGGGGAAGAGCCCCACTGTGGTGGACGGGATTTCCACGGAGGAAATGTCCAAGGAGCAGGTGAGCTGTGGCGTTATACTCGTGCGCTGTCGCGACGTGTTGTATTATGTTTCAGAATGTTTAAAAGAAAGGCACATGTGACATTAAATTGCCAAATAAAACATCGTATAGAAAGTAATATAATAAATAATCATACTAAATAGTAATAAAGAAAAAAATAAACGACCATAAACACGTGTGTAAAGACAGACAGACAGTGTCAGGCAGACACAGACAGTGGTAAAAAGGTGAGTTTTGACTTTGCATTTGAGGAGAGTCCAAGATTTTGTCCCTGGCAGAGTCTGAGAAGCACGTTCCCTGTCACTGGCGCACCTGCGCAGGCGTGAGGCGGGCGGGCTCTGCTACACCTGTGCAAGCGTCCACTCGCTCTGTTTCCAGCCCCAAGGCTCGGCTCACCTCCAAGTCTGTGGCTACTTGTGTGCAGCTGGAGGAGCACATTGTCCGCCTGCGAGAGGAGCTGGACCGGGAGAGGGAGGAGCGCAACTACTTCCAGCTGGAGAGGGACAAGATCCACACCTTCTGGGACATCACCAAGCGCCAGCTGGAGGAGAAGAAGGCGGAGCTGAGGAACAAGGACCGGGAGATGGAGGACTCCGAGGAGCGGCACCAAGTAGAAATCAAGGTTAGGAGGGCTGTCTGCTCTGTTTGGCTTGCTAAGATTTTTTTTCCCCTACCAATATTGAACAAACATGACTTAAGGTAAGAACATACTGTAAGAAAGGACAACTGAGAGAAGGTCTTTCAGCCCATCTGGTCTGTTTGGTAGTCAGTAGCTAATTGATCCCAGGGTCTCATCCAGCTGTTTCTTGAAAGAAGCCGGAGCATCGGCTTCAACAACATGGCCGGGCAGCTTGTTTCACACTCCCACCACTCTTTGGGTAAAGAAGGGGCTCCTGTTCTCATTTCTAAATGCACTTCCGTCCGTTTCCTCTGGTTCATGTATCGGTGCTCTATCTGAAGACGGTCGCTGGGTTAAGGGCATCAAACCTGTGCTGAGTTTGAACACCTGGGTCAGGTCTCCCCGAGAAGGGTTCTGGTCCTTCAGCCTGCGTGGGACGTTCCCTTGAGCCCTGAGCTCCCTCAACCAAGGAGTGCACTTCATAATGGGATGAAATAGAGCTGGTAAAGAGTGTTGAGGGCTTTTAGTGGTTACATGTCGTCCACTAAGGGCAGATTTGTCGTTTTATGAAGGTTTACAGAGTATCACTGGTATGATTGTTGGCCTCGGTTTTCTGTGAGGATCGTTATTTGTGCCCAGTTTCTGTCATAGTCCATAAAGGCCTAGAAGAGGGCTTCCAATCCAAAATCATTGCTGAAATTTTACATTGTGCATCAAATGATTTTCTTTTTTTATGAACATCTATGTCTCTAAGCAAAATGCTCAGAGTGTATTATAGCCCTGATGACTTCAAGATGCAATCATAATAACCTTACAATTTTCCTTAACATTGAAGAGAATGGTGGGTGCCTGTAAAAAAATAATAGGTAACCTGAATAATTAATAACAATAATTCAGTTAAAAAATACTTCATTCATCCCCAGGGGAGTAATTAATATAATTTCACTCTGATTACTTTTCATGTGGTTATTGTTTCAGAACTCGTTTGCATTGATAGTAGTCCTTTTTGTGCTGCTGCAGAATATTGTGGATTGTTTCGGCAGGTGTACAAACAGAAGGTGAAGCACCTGCTGTACGAACATCAGAACAGCACCTCCGAGCTGAAGGCAGAAGGGGTCATCTCTGCGAAGCTGATGCAGAAGGAGCAGAGCGAGAAGGAGGACGAGCTGCGGAAGGGTATGCGCACGCTCAAGGTGGATATAAAAGAGCAGGAACTCGCCAATGAGAATTTGGTCAAGAGCTTGAAACTGGTATGTGGACATTTTTTTAAATGTATTTAAAAATATATATCATATATATGTTTGTATATATATTTCATTTTAATTGTCCTCTGTGTTTAACTGGAAGATCGAGTCTTAATTTAAGCTTTTTTCTCCACTTACAACCTGAATAGAAACACGATGAAGAAATTTCCAAACTGAGGAATGATTTTGAAAGACAAGTGCGAGGTACAACTTCCTTTTCAATAATGCCATTTCCCTTCTACAAGTTAAGAGGCCAATAGATATGAGTAATAAACTGGGATTTGTGTTTGTGTATTTGTATTTTACTGTTTCGCTTGTAGTCTTGATATATAGCTCCACCTAGTGATGTAGATCTGTAACAGTCAGAATATTGCTGTGTGTTTTCATATTCGCTGTTGGACAGAGACTTACTGCCTTTGTGCTGAAACACGAGACAGAGACAGCTCTGAATTCATTGTCTCTGACTAATGTATTTCATTAGATGATAAATGAGAATGTCATTGTTTGCCATTCTCTGCATCTTGAATGAAAAACAAAATAAAATACTCTTTGCTGGAGTTTACAACCCTCGTCAGGAAAAGCAGAGTAAAAATGGATGGATGGTTAAAGAAATAGCTTATGTGCTCCGAATGTAGATGTTGCCTTCATTATTTTTTCCCTTGATACATAGTCTAAAATTCTTTAATATTCATTTAATATTCTGTGTATGGCAAACCGATAACTTGCTAGTTAGATGTCTGTGATGGGTACTTTCAAAATATGTGAATGTTCTTATTGGTTTTAACTAAAATAAATATGAATTAAGTTTTATTTTTTAATTGCTTTATTAATTGATTAATTGCCTCATATTAATTGTTTAATAATCCCTCTTAAAGGCCCTTTTTCCTTTACTTCCCGTTGAGCAGAAATAGAAGCAAAGTATGAGAAGAAGATGCAGGTGTTGCGGGAGGAGCTGGAGCTCAGGCGGAAGACGGAGATCCACGAGATCGAGGAGAGGAAGAACAGCCAGATCAACACGCTGATGAAGAACCACGAGAAAGCTTTCAGCGACATCAAGAATTACTACAACGACATCACCCTCAACAACCTGGCCCTGATCAACTCGCTGAAAGTAAGGAATGAGGAGCACAAAGTGCCTCTCGCAGCCAGGCTCCCGACCGGCTGAGATCTCTTGTCCTTGTGCTGTGAAACACACTGAGGTGGAGGACAGTTTGAATCCCATTTGTAAGCCAAAATACTTATTTGACTTTTACAAATATATTCAAGTTTTTGGAAATCTTCGGTGCTCATATTAAAACATTTGTAGCTTTACTTCCACTTTTAGGAATGACAGTTAATAATAATAACAACAAAAACACTATTTAATTTCAGCTTTGATTTAATTTTTACATTTCTGATAGCTCTTCGTGAACTCTAGTCTGTGTCTGGAGGGATACAGGACCTCCTTTGCCTTTGACCAACGCTTGGTCCCCCTCATTTTCAGGCTTATGCAAACTTTGCATTGATCTTGTACCCTCGGCCCCGTCAATGTCCTGATTGTGTCGCAGTGACCCCGGCAGGACATTCCTCAGCAGGAGCCTGCGGGGGTTGATTCTGGAATGTCTGTCTTGCGTGCAGGAGCAGGTGGAGGAGATGAAGCGCAAGGAGGAGCGAATGGAGAAGGAGATGGCGGAGGTGCTGCTCCAGAACAAGAGACTCACAGAGCCCCTGCAAAGGGCGAAGGAGGAGGTGGCTGAGCTCCAGAAGCAGCTGGCCAATTATGAGAAGGATAAGGTTTCCCTAGCGGTATGTGTCTCATACAAACCATCCAAATTTCTGCAGAGTTTGAGTCTGTGCCTGAGGTGGGTGTGTTTAGATCTCGACAATGTCTTTGTCCCCACTGGCCTATGCAGGAGAGAGGTAAGAAAGAAGCCGTTGCAGTGTTTATGACAAAGCACTTGAATGATACAGAAAACATGTGGCAGAAGGGTCAGAAGGTAACGATGAAATGTTTTGGTCTAAATTTTAAGCGTTGAGTCTAGGTACAAGCCCAGCACAACACATGATCAGCTGTGTCCCGGCTAGCTGCACGCTGCCATGAGGACACTTCTCATCAGCCGGGCCTGGCAGCTTGGCAAATGCCAAGTGAACTCTAGAGGGAAACCTGGTTGGCTCAAAACCTTCATCAAACCTTCATCATTTTAGCACGGCAATGAACAGACCACTAAACATGGGAAATTTAACCACTGTGTTAAGTTGGTAGACACCTATTCAAAAACACTAGCAGCAAAAAGGACTGCCAATGGTGTGTCTATGAAGTACTGGTGTAGGGTGGTTGAAGATTTGTGCAAGTACATTTTTATTTTTAGGTTTTGTCCATATTCAACTTTCAAAATAACAGAATTGAGTTTGACTATTACAGTTTGGAATAATAAAGTCCAATTGAACTTTTTGAAACTGTATTTGTAGTGGTATAAACGTGACACTGCTTGTTCTGTTAAAATGTTTACAAGGCCTTGTAAATATATTTACCTAAAGGATACAGTTCACCCTTTCAACACTAATGCAGTAAGGATGGTGTTTTTCAGGGAACTAACAGGATGTGACTATTTTTCTAACCAGGGGTTACTTGTTCAGACCTTAGATGATTTTCTGTTCATTCTTTTTTGAAGTCTGTTCCATGTAGAGAACACATTAACTTTTAAAAAGTATCTCTTCTTTGTAAAAACAAATAGACAAATAAAATAGTCAGGGTTAATAATGTTAACAATGTTAACATAAGGTTAATAATGTTATTTTTTGTCAGGGGGCCAAGGCGCGTTTGAAGGTGGCAGACAAGGAAATGAAAGACTTGAAATGGGAGCATGAAGTACTGGAACAGCGGTTCAGCAAGGTAACACAGTTACAGTTCATAAAATCAACACTCCTTCACCTGGAAGTATAAACCTTTCCTCATTCCTCTTTTTATACAACATAAAAGCAGTCTGGAATCATTGGCGGATCAGTGGATTGTTCTGTGTTGTACACTCTGAGCAGAATTTCACTGTCCATCCATCTGTCTTCTACCCGCTTTGTCCAGTTCAGGGTCACGGTGGAGCCGGAGTCTATCTCAGCAAGCGGGGGTACACCCTGGACAGGACACCACAGGACACCAGATTGCTGGATTGGGATTGTTGCATGACTGTTCTGTAGACTGTGCTTCTGTCTCATCATTGTTCTCGGTGCATCCAGGTTCAGGCTGAGCGAGATGAGCTGTACCAGAAGTTTGTGAAAGCTATTCAGGAGGTCCAACAGAAGAGTGGCTTCAAGAACCTCCTGCTGGAAAGAAAGCTCAGCGCTCTCACCGAAACACTGGAGAAGAAAGAGGCTCAGCTGAATGAAGTCCTTTCTGCATCCAACCTCGACCCAACAGCACTGACCATTGTAACACGCAAACTGGAGGTATGCTCTTAAACCCCCCCCCTTGAAAACCCGTCCTAAACCTGACTTGGGCCCCAAAATCCAGCGCTGAGCCTGAAAATTGTGTAAATAGTGTGTGAATGCTAACCCTAACCCTACCTGGGGTGTCAACTGAGCATGTCTGTGATCTACTGTAGACATCACTTGTCTGAGCAGCCACAGAGCACAGTTTGCCTATTTTGTGAAGATGTAGAAGAAAGATATTATCTGAAATGTTTTTTTTTTCTTTTAAAGGATGTTTTGGACTCCAAGAATGTTGCTATTAAAGATTTACAGTATGAGCTGGCTAGAGTTTGTAAGGTAGGAATGGTCATATCTTTTAAGGGTAATGGGATAAATGCATTAAAAAATGGCTTAATTTTAAAGAATTCATTTTGAGGTACCTACTTAGAAAACTCAACTATTTCCTTGAATTCTAAGTGTTCTGTTCACATGCATTATAATTTTACAAATCTTGTATATTTGATTTCTTCTGAAAAAGTATAGTTTATAGTTATTAAACTGTTGATAATTATGAATTATAACAGCCAAAGAATTCTGATTGTTTCAATTATACTGTGCTTCATTTATACCTGTGCTGCATGTAGGTATATGATGATATAGATATGATTCTGGGAAAAGGGTGCTCTGGAATGTATTCCTTTTAGCTTTTCGGGCTATATACTGTAGCAATGGGAGTTTTAACAGATTTTGAGAACTTAGATCATCACTCCACAGTTATTTGTTTTGAGAATGAATGTACAATGAAGTACAGTACCTTACGTTTGTGTTTTTTAAAAATTTTAGGCTCACAATGATTTGCTGCGGACATATGAAGCTAAGCTGCATGCTTTTGGGATTCCAGTGGATGAGCTGGGATTCAAACCGCTGGAGAGCACAGTGGCAGGACAGACTCTTGGGAAGGGGCCAGCAGGACTGGTTTCTTCCCCAACATAAAAAAACTGTCAGAGATGTTGCTGGACATTGATAAAACAGAGGACGTCTAAGTTTCTTCTTGAATCTTGAATATCGCTGCAGCCTTGCTTTGTAAAACTATAGCCTTTGATCCACTCTCTAGAGGCAAAGTTTTTATGAGAAACCAACCAATGACCCTCATTTTATACTTTTCAGTATTCATATTATCATGCTATCTGTTATCAGAAAATGAAGAATATATTTATCTGAAACAAAAATGTTTTCTTTTTCAGATTCAGCTCATTTTAAATCCCCTTTTGCTGAGATGGTTTTAATACCTGAAGGCTTATATGGATTCAGTTTAAACCTGTGTTCTGAAGCAAAACAGCAACTGAAAGATTAGATTTTTCTTTAAGAGGATGGTGTGCTTGTGAATTCCCACACACGTTAATTAGTTTTATTTCTGAAACATCTGAAAATGTTATTGCATAGTCAAGAAACCTCTTGAACTCAATTAAGTTTTCTGTTCTTCATTATTTAAAAACATTTTTTCATACCAGAATGGTTTTGCTACATTCATGAATTTTCAGTAGTTCCTTGTTAACAGTGTGTAGCAAAATTAATTATAGTGACACACATATTTACTCGTTACTCAGTTTTACCAGTATCCAGAGGTGGCTTCACTTACAAGCAGATTATTTCTGTTTCAATGTAATGTGAACCAAACTTTGATGTGGAAGGTGTGCTGGAACTGATGTTAAAGCAGATTCATAAACACAACTGGATACCTAAATTTCAACTGTAAAGAAGTATAAACAACGAAGTTAAAGACTTAACTTCACTGGTAAATGGTTTTTAAACACCAGATCACAAATGAGAATGCATCTGAATGAGAGAGAAATTCAGCAACAGAAAGTTGGAACAGTTCTTCTACAATAAAAGAAAGTACTCAGGAAAAATCTTAAAATGACCATAAATTGGAAAGAACATTTTCTTCCTGTACCTAATAAACACAAGACAGTACAACAAAGAGGAACATTTTCACACTTAGAAGAACACAGACAGACCCATTTTCTCAATTCAAATGTGGCCTCTTCACACCTCTTCAGATCTCATTCACATGAACAGTTCCCACTCCTTCACAGAGACAGTCTGCCTTCTTCTGGTTACTTTACTGTGCTGGAGACTCTTTCACATAGGCCTCTACACGGTCATGCCTCATACCTCCCAGTCAAGAAAGGATCTGGGGTCAGTGGGCTCCTGTACTGTATATGATGTAGATATTACTTATCAGTTGAACGAAGTATTGAGCTCAGTGGCTGTTTGCAAGGTCTTCATATCCTTGTGGTTTAGAACAACACATGCTGGGGGAGCTTGTAGACAGATTGAGGCAAATGTGTCCAAACCTTTTGGATCTAACAATTAGTGCTCAGTTGACATTTATTTAGTACTGAAATTAAATAGCATTTCTTTACACATTCTTACATGATGAAACACTATTGAATGGATATGATGGCGTCATGTTTCATTTCACTTGAAGCTAAAAACGCATACATCCCTCTAAGTAGTTGTTTATTAAATGTGATCTAACACTCGGGTGGTTTGTGTGAAGCACCAATGTACTGCGATATAGTGTACACACTGTGAAGTCGAGACAGGCACCCCGATTGCGGAAAGCCGCGCAGGCGCGTTGTCGCCGGCGAGCAGTTTGTCTTTCGTGGGCCGCCGTAGCGCTTGTGGGGGGTCGGGCTGCGGTTCAGTGTGACCCCACAACAGACCCGAGCGGTCCTGGGCTCTCGTTGTCCAGACCCGATACCTGCATAGGTGTAGCCGGTTTCCAGAGGCAGTAAGAAAAGCAAAGCTGAACGAAGAATGGATCCTGCCGTCCAGTTAAAACCTGGTATTTCTTTGATCAAGCTGAGGTCTTCGGGCAGTACAGTACTGACACCGTTTAACTCCTTCCACATCGATATACTCTGAAAGTACATTGTACAAGTCGCAAAAGTTACATACACGGAACATAATTTCTTATGTTTTTTTCTGTCTACTTTAGGCGTTACAAAATGGGATATTCGGCAGAAGGTGTGGGATTACATAGAAGCCAATAATTTAGCTAACTTTCCACGACCGGTTCATCACAGGATCCCCAACTTTAAGGTAGTGTTACACGACGTTATTTACCGCTATGCATCAGATATGGCACCAAAAGAGTTATAGAGCAAATGCTTTCAAATATTTAAATTTTCTAAAGTATGGGTTCAGTTTTCAAGTGTGTTTTGATGGCCGCAAGGTTCCGAGCAAACATCTCACCGGTCCTGCGTCTGTTTCTCACTCGGACAGGGCGCCGCCCACGCTGGACACAGGCTGTCCGGCTTGCAGGAGTTCAGGGCCGGCAGGGTGATCAAAGTCAACCCAGACAAACCCCAGGAGCAAGCTCGCTTTATTACCCTGGACGTAAGTCCCGTTTCATCGCTGTCTCTGTCTGCTCCAGGGGGCCTACCGCTCCTGCGACCAGCTCGCAAGTCTGGGGGTCCTCCAGCATGCGAGCGAAGTTAAGGTGGACCCCGATAAGCCACTAGAGGGAGCTCGCCTCGCTGTCCTGCAGGTAACCTACTGTTGAGGAGGATCGAGGGGGAAACTGGACACAGAGAATGCTTAGCACTGTTTTCTTAACCTTAACATCCGTGCCAGGCAAGTCGAATATAACCTTGTGTTCTACAGATCCCCATCATGGTGCTGCTCATATTGGTACACATCATCCGGTCTCTTCCTCATCATTCTGTACAGTATTTTTTAATCTCTTGAAAGAATTCTGTATGTTGACATTTTTTTTTTTAAGTGAGGGCAAGCGCAGGCGTCACTTTCGAGAAGTTAAATCTGTAACAGCACTAGCCAGTCGTGGCATTGTATGAGAGTAACTGTGGCAATTGCTGTCTGAATTCTGTCCTGTGTTTATGATTGATGTGAGTTCAGGTAGAGTAGAGGTATCCTTGGGGACATCTGGACACTGTGGATGAAATGATTTGAAATGGACGTGTATTTATCAGTGAAGCTGTTGCTCCTCCTGGCGGAGCTTAGGGTTTTGACTCTGACCACAACAAAGTGCCTTTTTATTTCAGGCAGGCAAAACCTTGCTGGTCCCCACCCCACGCCTCAGGACTGGGCTGTTCAATAGGATTGTTCCTCCCCAAAGAGCCACCAAAGAAGACCTCCGCATCTGCTCCACTTCCCAGGTGACCTCTGCCTGCATGTTTCTCCTGTGTCCGATGGGCTTGGCGTTCCTGCACCTGTCCCGTGTCACATAAGCAGGGCAGGGAAGATCCCACACTCATTTCCATGTAGTGTCTCAGTGACTTTCACACAGCTAACACAGGTAAAAGGCATGATAGAAGAAGACTGCAGTGCAGCAAAAAGCCATTTTATGAAGACCAGTATGGTAGAGTCTTTCAAAACTCTGCTTCATGCTGCAATGAAGACAGTGATCTTTAATAACTGAATGGACTCCCAGGTTTGTACGTTTTGAAATGTTTTTAATTTTGTAATCTTTTTGTTCCCACTCTCTATATTAAGCAGTTCTTGCACTTTGTAGTTCGGTGCTTTTTTTAAAAATAATAAAAGCCATCGTGCAATTGGCATCAGCTGAACAATGAGTAATTATAGCATATGTGCTGACTGACTTCATGTGATATTAAAAATGATGTCCTCTGACAGTCGTTTCCGTTTGGCTGTCTCGAGCCAGCTCTCTTTCTGGTGATTTGCAATGGCCAGTGTATGTGCCTGTAACTTGACTGCTTGCCGCTCTTTGTTTTGCAGGGTGTGAAGCAGTACAGTGTGCCTGTTGGTCTGGATGCTAAAGTACATGTGGACTTGGTGGTGGTGGGGTCTGTAGCAGTATCTGAGAAAGGTCAGTTAGATTTGAATTACTGCTAGACTCAAAGTCAGTACGCTATGTTAACAGTCGTGTCCCATGCCACCCCCTGTAGGCCCTTTTTTGGAATGAAGTTACTACCTTCTGCTACGTTGTCAGCAAAATATTTTTGTCTGTTGAGTTGTGACCCACATGTTTGTTTTAGGTTCCCAGTGGACTTTTTCTGTCCTCAGACATTACTACCTACAGAGATGTTCCTTGCCTGCAGCCTCTGAGCTCCTCATCTTTTTTATCCAGGGTATCGTATTGGGAAAGGAGAAGGGTTTGCCGATATGGAATACGCCATGATGGTTTCAATGGGAGCAGTTAATGATTCTACAATCATCGTTACTGTTGTCCATGACTGTCAGGTTAGTACTGAATTCTTCACAGACATGTGGACCTGTAGAGGAGTAATTCCTCACCTTGTTGTCCATTTGATTTTCAATCTGGACACTGTCAAAATCAGTAGTCTGTTTGACAGCTCTGTAAATACTTTTCAACTCTTAGCAATAGAATCAGTAATATATCCTTACTTCTCTGGTTACCTTTTCCTCAGTTTGTGTTAGTTCCTGTGGAGTAAGGATTATTTAAGAGTTGTGGTGTTAGAGCTCATAAAAAAGTAGAGATTTCAAAAGGATGTAAAAAAAACACTTGTTGGTGACATAAACAATTCAGTCAGCCATAATGTCTTCGAGTGTTTTACAAGGCCAGTGGTTAACCGAGTGTTTCCAAATGTGCTTGTTGATGTGTTTTGCAGGTTGTTGATCTTCCCGAGGAGCTGGTGGAAGGCCACGACCTTACTGTGGACTACATCCTCACTCCGAGCCGCGTGATCAAAACAGGTTGCTCTCGGCCCAAACCACAAGGAATTTTTTGGGCTAAGGTACAGTTTGTTTATATTTCTTTAAGAATAATGACTTCAGTACTGAGGAAGAAGTGTCCTTTTCCTTGTGTGCATTGTCGCAAATGCTGATGTCAGGTTGTTTATTTTTTTATGGAAATCACCCATGTGACCCTGAACCCATCTTTCCCAGTAGCTCAGTGGGGGAGTCTTCCTCATGCTATGGGCTTTTTGTCCTCCTCCAGCTGGATTCGGACATGTTGGATAAGATACCGATCCTGAAGAAACTCCGCTACATGGAACAGAAGGCAGGGAAAGATGTGACACTGAAGAAGATGCTTTCCGGGACTGCTGCCTTAGGGGAGAGGCCATCTGGTGTCCTCACCCACAGCTCTGAGGGCAGAGGCTCCGCTCCAGGGCCGAGGGACAGGGACTCCGCTCCAGGGCC